TCTTTTGAATTGATGTTATTATTTCTTGACTATCAGGTACTTGATGAGATCTTACTATCACCAAACCATTGTTCGAGGACTTCAGCATCCACTGACATGTGGTTGGAAAGTGATGTTGAAATCATATTCATTCCCAGCTTAATTCAATACAAGTAGGAACCAGAAGTATTGGCAATTAGAAGATTAATGATGGTGCTTTGTTTAGACTGAGAGGTTGTTATATCATTGAAATAATATTACCTTTGCCCATTGATTCACCCACTATTCAGCACATGTTTATTTAGAGTCTCCTATCTCCAATAATATACAGTGTTAGTTTCTGGGTAATACAATGGAGAGGTAGAAAAAAAATGAGCTCAGGGGTTAAGGTGTTGAAATGAGTCCCCTTTCTGCTTATCCTGACCAGGGCCTTCACTATAAAAAGCGAAGTTGCTCAATCTGCCTTCTCAGCCTGAAAGGAAACTATATGCCCAATTATAAGTACAAAAATACTCTTTGAGTTAAGCAAGCATATTTTATAAAGTACCTACCGTCATGAATTATCTGCACAAATTTCCCTCTAGTCCCTTCAGTGACATGTAAAATTGAGAAAGCAACTAAAAATAAGATTTAAAAATAAGTTAAATCTTCTAAAATTGCTGCCTTGGAGAGTACCTTAGGGCCTCTGATCCCTAAGCCCTAATGCGTGGGCCCAATTTTGAGGAATTTCTCATTTTGTGACTTGCCTCTATTTTCCACAATCCACTCAGTTGTTAATTAAACCCAGGGCAACGTCTCCATGGCAATGACTGGCATCTGGAGACCACAAGAGAACCAGCCGCTACCAATAAATATAATGAAAATGCCAACCACTCTGTGGTCACTATTGCCTGTGAATTGTGGTTTGACAATTGGCATAAAATGGCCAATTGGTCTGGGTTTAAATCCCCAGATCATCATCACAGTTCAGTAGAGATCAGTGTCTCTTCCCCGATGTGATCTTTCCCCACTTACTTCACTTCAACTTGGATTCTGTCTCCTGTAACTTCTGTGTCTCTGGTTCCTCGTAGGGTGAAGGAGAGGGAAGTGGGAACTCATTTCTGAATGACAGACTTTCACCTTGGATTAGCACCTACAACATTGAGAAACTGGACAGAGATAATATCTCTTCCCCTGCAGGACCAATATTTCTCAGGTAAGAGAAGGGCAGAAGGCCTGTCCTGGGGCAGAGGAAAGAAAATGCAGAGACAGCCACAATGAAAGATGTGGACTCCAAACAATGTTGCCTAGGATAATTTAGCTTTGAAATGAATTTCTGCAAACCTATACAAATAAATTTTATATATATTCAAAATTAACTGACTCATTGTTCATCCTAAATTTATATAGACACTGTCTTGATTCTGATTTGGCTCATCACTCAACAATATTTTAATCACAAAAGCTTTTGCTCTAATTTAGTAAGAACACTTACCATGACATCTACCCTATAAATAAATGTTTAAGTACACAATATAATTTTGTTAACTATAGGCATAATATTGTACAACAAATATCCAGAACATATTCATCTTGTGTAACTAAAACTTTACATCGATCAACAGCTGCTCCCCACTTCATTCATCCCTGTGGTTCTGAAAACCACTATTTCATTCTCAAGTTCTATCAGTTTGACTCTTTAAGATACTTCAGGTAAGTGGAATTAATCCTTCTGTGACTGCCTTTTTACTTAGCATAATGTCTTCCAGGTTAATCCATGTTGTCACATACAGCAGAGTCTGCTTTTTTTCAGGTTGAATAATATTCCATTGTGTGTATACATCTACAAAATTAAACAGTTTCTTGTGGAATTGTATTAAGTGGAATCTAGACAAAGTGGCAATACCTAATAAAGGTCAAATAACTTAATGGGTGTTTTGAAAATAATTATAGTTGAAAAATAAAGACACAGAAACCCTGCCCCATGGAAATACAAAATCAGAAACACTAGCATAAACTCATAGAGACTAGGTAGGATTGGGAAAAGAACACATGGACAACTGCTATACTGAAAGAGGAAGTTATTTCTTTTTTTTAAATAAATTTTATTTTTATATTCCCCATACAATTGCACCCCCCTTATTTTGACCCCAATCCCTCCCCACCCCGCCCCCCACCCCCCATAGAGTGTCTCTGGTTCATAGTTTTTTGTTGATTTTGATTTTCACTTTCTTATAGTTATTCATTTCCCTGCTCCCTTATTTAAGTTTTCTAGATTCGGGCCTCCCCGGTGGCGCAGCGGTTGAGCGCTGGGTTGCGAAACTGCGCGCGGCCTCTGCGGCGCCGGTTCGATCCCCGGCTGCTCCCCGGCCACCGGAGGAGGGTCCCACATGGCGTGCAGACCTCTCCTGCCGCCCGCTGCTCCCCTCAGCAGTGTACTTCGGTCCTTCTGCCTGCTCTGCTCCCCGCTCTGGCTCTGGTGAATTCTCTCACCCTCCCGCGCTTCTGACTGTGCCCAGTGCATGTATAAACAAAACAAACAAACAAACCAGCAAACAAATAAATAAAGCATGCCTCTATAAAAAAAAAAAAAGTTTTCTAGATTCCTTCTATGAGTGAGACCATCCGGTATTTTTCTTTTTCTTTCTGGCTTATTTCGCTGAGCATGATCCCTTCCAGCGCCATCCATGTTACTGCAAATTGCATGTGTTTATCTTTTTTGAATGCTGAGTAATATTCCATGGTGTATATGTACCACATCTTCTTGATCCAGTCATCTATTTTTGGGCATTTGGGTTGTTTCCAAAGCTTAGCTATTGTAAACAGTGCTGCTATAAACATAGGGGTGCAGGTGCTCTTTGGAATTGATGTTTCTGTGTCCTTTGGGTAAATACCTAGGAGTGGAATTGCTGGATCATATGGAAGCTCTATGTTTAGTAGGTCCAGAAATCTCCACACAGCTCTCCATAGTGGTTGGACCAGTTTGCACGCCCACCAACAGTGCAGGAGAGTTCCTTTTTCTCCACATAAGAGGAAGTTATTTCTGACATAATAAATATTTCAGGAGGAAGCCTAGTACTATGGGAATCACATTCATCTGAAAGACACAAGATCATCCATTCAGTTACATTCTGATTTCCCTGTGCCACACATATCTCTAAAAGATGGACCTAAATTTTAATTGGTAGACCAATACCAAAATTGTGTCCTATTTTCTCTTATGGAAATGTCAAAAGCAATACTGATAGACTAATAAGTTGGAATGATACTCCCCAAAGAACTTAATTGAGTTGAGTTATGTTATGTTTATGATAAAGAAGCAGAGGGAAGGAGAGGGAGTGGATAGTGTTTTTTATTTCACAAACCTGTATGAACATATATATTTCCTTCATAAATAGGCTGGCTCTGTATGTTTATAGAGCAAAATAGCAATGCTTATTTAATTCTGAAAAGTCAGCATTAAGGAAAAGATTGATCAGTTCAAAATCACAATGTTTATACAAGTAATCACTCTAAGACTCACTCCATAGTTTATCAAAATGTTTACAGGTGACATTCAACTACTATTTGCTCTTCAAAGTCTTCCTTGGAATTATTTGTATTCCCCTCAAGATTTTCAGGATACTTTTCCTGTACTTCTTTTATCATGTTTATGATTAGCTTATAAAATAACTTATTATTTTCTCTCCTCTGAGAAAAGGACAGCGATTTTTTTCCTATTTATATCTGCAGTGCTTAAGACATAAAAGAGATCATGAAATAATAGAATATGAAAATTGTGAAACAATGTATTATAGTCTTTAAATGCCAAGTAAACAGTTGAGCTTGAATCCTAAATACATAGCTCATCAAGCATTATAAAGCATCCACAGACACTCTTAAGTTTATATTTACATGTGACTAAGATGAACTAGAATTTCATCTTTTAACATATCCCATAACCTCAACACAAAATGGAAAGGAAACTCCTTTGCTTTCTACCAGGTATAGAGAAGCTGCATGAGTGATTCTGATGACAGAGCATCCAAATGCCAAAGAATTGGCTTAGCATTTCAAGATCCATAACCCTTGCCTTCTTCCCTTGCAGAAAAGGACACTGGAAAACCAAGTTACTTTAAGTTAGATTTAGAGAAACTTGTGGACCTCCAAATTTAATCCCTCTTAAATTTTCCTCTCTGAGAAAGTACGGAAAAGGCAGTTTCAACAATTTGCCATAGATTAAATGTCCATTATATCACTGATAAAAAAAATCCCGATCCCATCCTCACAGAACGACAATGAAGTGATGAAAGACAAGTATTTATCAACCATGCACTATTTTGAACTAGCTTCTTTCATGCACATGATTTCAATTAATTTTCACTAGAGCCCTATGAGGCAAAAATTACTTTTCTCACCATACAAATGAGAAAAGGTTCTTAGAGAATTTAAAATCTTACCACTAGGACATTCCACAGTCAGAATTAAATCTAAATCTGTCTAAGTTTAAGAACCATTTTATTCCTCCATTACTCAACTGTACATGTGCTTGTAAACTGTAAAATTCAAGGTCATATGTAGAAAATAATTAGTAAGCCTGAGAATTTAGGTCCTGGAATTAGAAAGATAATAATACATTAGTAATAAATATGCCTTCTCAGCAATAAAATCCTATGTTAAGTTTTGAGCCACAAATCAGGGGGAAAATGCAGAAGTAGTAGAAACTAAAGTGTACCCAGTTTATATTTTCCTAAGAATGTTTTAGTTCAATGTTTCTGCAAATGGAAATGAAAAACTAGTTGAATCTGAGAAATGTCAAGAACCTTTTCCTGTACTGTTAAAATTAATTTGGAGTCTCAAAGTTGGATATACGCTGTGTCTGATTTTTTTTTTAAATACTTCTTCCCATCTTAAAAAAAACTGAAGGAAGGAGGAATGTGAGTTTAGAACTCAAAATCAGAACTGTGCTCTATGACTGACTTCCTATTACTCTACAAAGTTTCAGCGATTTCTCATGGCGCTTTCCTCTCTTTCTCAGATTGTCTCCTGATGATGTTCCTTCCATGGAGCAGGTCAATGAGACCTCAGTGAGGGAGTTTGTCTTCCTTGGCTTCTCCTTTCTGACTGGGCTGCAGCGACTACTCTTCGTTGTATTTCTGCTCGTCTACCTGTTCACTCTGGGCACCAATGTCATTATCATTTCCACCATTGTGCTGGACAGAGCCCTTCACACCCCCATGTACTTCTTCCTTGCTGTTCTCTCTTGCTCTGAGACATGCTACACCTTCGTCATTGTACCCAAGATGCTGGTGGATCTGCTGGCTCAGAAGAAGACCATCTCCTTCCTAGGCTGCGCTATCCAGATGTTTACTTTTCTCTTCCTTGGCTGCTCTCACTCTTTCCTGCTGGCAGTCATGGGCTATGACCGCTATGTGGCCATCTGTAACCCTCTGCGCTACACCGTGATCATGGGCCCAGGGGTGTGTGTGGGCCTGGTGGCTGTTGCCTGTGCCTGTGGCTTTACTGTTGCACAGATCATCACCTCCCTGGTATTTCGTCTGCCCTTCCACTACTCCAACCGACTCCATCACTTCTTCTGTGACATCTCTCCTGTCCTCAAGCTGGCATCTCATCATACCCACTTTAATCAGATTGTCATCTTCCTTCTTTGTTCATTGGTCTTGGTTATTCCTCTATTTTTGATCTTGGTATCATACATTCGCATCATCTCTGCCATACTCCAATTTCCTTCCACAGTGGGCAAATACAAAGCTTTCTCCACGTGTGCTTCTCACCTCATTGTTGTCACTGTCCATTATGGCTGTGCCTCCTTTATCTATCTAAGGCCTAAATCTAACTACTCCTCAAGTCAGGATGCTCTCATATCCGTATCCTACACAATCTTAACTCCATTGTTCAATCCAATGATTTACACCTTGAGAAATAAAGAGTTCAAATCAGCTCTTCATAGAGTTGTGGGGAGAACAATTTCCCAGCCACAAAGTTAACCTAGCCACTGGTCTTTCCAATCAGTAAAGCAAAAGCAGCAATTTCTCCCAAACAGAAATGAACACACAATTGAACACAGTGTTCAATGACAGAGACCATTTCTCCTGCATTTCCAAGTATAAAATTCAGGAAACCACAGTTTCTTGACTGGATTGTGTAGAGTATTGCCTATTGAAGGTTTGGTTTCTTTGCTTGGTTGGGTGTTTTGTTGGTTTTGCTTTTTTTTTTCAGTTGAGGAGAAAATATTGGATGGCTATTATAGGAAAAAATAGGTGTTCAGAATTCTAAATTGTGACAAAGACTGTTAGCCAATTTCAGTCAGATAAGAAACCAGCCCTGCAGAATATTGAATAACCCCAACCTCCTGTTTTAAGGGCTGTGGAAGATTGTATATCTGCATTGCTCTTTTTCTGAATGCTCCCTGATCTCAGTTTTCATTATCATCAGGTTGCAATTTTTTAATGAGATAATGTTTTATAAAGTACTTGTTGGCTTGTTGCAGTATTTGGTATATAAGATATATCCAACTAATGTTCAAGTAGAATATTATACAAAAATCTATCCACTTTTGTGTCTCACATACACAGGAGCTGATTTGTCAATAATTTTTGTGCAGGCAAAAATCTGAACTTAATCAGAATTTTTTGCAGCTATTTAGAGGGGTAATGGCTAGAAGGCCATTGGCTAAAATGGCCAAGAAAAGCAGGCTAAATTTAAAACCATTTCATTACTAGAAAACTATGCAAAGAGCCAGCATTTCATGTCCTCCATGCAACTCTGGAGTTTACGTGTGCATTTCAGTTCTGAATCTGAATCAAACATTTTAGTTCTCTCTCCTTCCTACAAGAGTGAGTGGAAGCAGGAGTTCCATGGAGAGTGCTGTCTCCTCGCTTTATCTTTTTTTTCAAGATCCACTTGTCTACAAAATCATCTGGCTGAATTATTTTATTTCAAAGTGCTTTCCTTGTCCTGCTCAGTCTACTCATCAACGATGTTCACCTTCCAGGGATTGAAGCCAGAGTGAAGGGCGTGGGGTATTTCATTCCTGCGTCCTGTTTTATTGTGGGATGCAGTGCTTATGTGATTCTTCCATACTTTGAAGCTTGAGATTTGATGAGGGCAGAGCCTGAAGATCACAGAAGCTGATGCAAAATTTATTTAATACCAAAGTCTCCCTTCCTTGGGTCTATAGTTCAACCAAGGCCTCTCGTCTATCAAGTTGCCTCATGAAAAGGAATGAACTGATAACTACAATTTGAATCAGTTCAATGTGCTAGTTGATCAAGCCTGCACTGTGTGTAACTGTTTTAAAATGTTACTTTATTTGCAATTTAGAGCAGCCCTTAGAAGTATATATTATGATAATGAGAAAACTGGCACGCAGAGAATTAAAATGTCTTGGATGCTATTGAGTAGAATTGATACTGAGCCCACATCATCTGCTTCCTTTATTAATGTGCCTGTGGTGCTCATGCCCAGCCCCTTGCAAACACTATGACTTTTTTCATTAACAGAGTAGAATGCATAAGTAATCCTCTTCAACACTAGACCACTAAGCCATGTCACAGCTATAGAGAATAAGCACTGACATGCAGCAAGTTCACTGTGTGTTTAAAGATCATGTTTATTGGAATTCTTCTTCTGGCATTTTATCCTTTTTTTTATGTGATTGTATAATTAATTTGAGCTTGGACCTGTCCTCATAGGTTGGAACAAAATATCTTGCTCTCCTTCTTTCTCTTTACACACACACACACACACACACACACACACACAGAGTTAATTTTAACGCCACTCTAGTTGTATGTCACTTGCAGGAAAATGGTAAGAATTTTAGATCTGGGGATGGATTCAGTGAGAAATCAAAGTCCCTTAGGCCTTCTAACTAGTCTTTGGATTCCAGTTGAGCTTACAGAGAAATCAGCATTTGAGTTTTGGGCAAAAATAGTCAAAAATAATAAACTAGAATTTAAATTACCCATTTATCATTGTCTCTTATATGTATATCTCTGTTGAATACATCATAGGGGAGAGTAAACTACAGCAGAAGAAGGCATTATGGAACATTTGTGACTTTGGTCAAAATACAGTGTAATAGCACTAAAACTAGGTTTGTAGCCTATCAGTCTGGCTTTGTGTATTAGGACTAATTATCTAAAAGACCCTTTAACATTGAGCAGACCAATCATGATTCAAAAAAAATGTAACTTGAAGACTATTAGTCTAAGTTATCTACAAAAAAAAGTACAAAAAGAATAGACTCAAGTTGAGAAACAACACCTAAATAACCACTACAAGAGGCCACCACAGATGAGTAAGTTTGTGCTTAGCTAGCAAAGATTGTATCACTTCAAGGATGTAAGTTAATGAAAGATTTTATAAAACATAGTTTTTTGTTTTCTTATTTATTAATATATATATCAGCTTTGACATTCATATAAAGATCAAGAGTTGACTAAGTTGATTGGATAGATACACTGAGAGAAAAAATATCAATGCATTATCTTTTTCTAAATTAGCATCTTCCCTAATTATTTTAATGAGATAGTAATAGGTTTACACATTTTCAGAAAACTAGGCATTGTAAAATAAAAGATCTAATTTTACCTGGAATCGCTCAGTTCTGGACATCTCCCTGGACATCTTTCACTTGAGAGGGCAAATCCTCAGAAAAGCACATATGTATTTTTTTATAGGTGTACAGTCATTTTCTTGTTACTATCCTTGCAGTTAAAATAAGTCTGTGCTACAAGTATACGTGTATTCAATGACCAGAAATACAAGCAGTATAAGTCAAGTTGGAAGAATGTGATCCACTGACAGCAAAAAATATGGCATAGAAAACTCCATCTCTTAGCAATTAGCCATAGTCCTCCTGCATTGACTGACCCAACTTTCACGTGTGAATGCAAAGTCCTCCAATGTTCACTGAGATGGCTTCCTAATTTTTTTTTCACCAAAACTCTCTACTTCCTGACATGATTTCCCCAACTATTGAGCTTTCCTTCATGGAAGCCTTCTGGAACTTAATTTCACTTTCTGTTTCTTCACTCCTTATGTCTCCATCAGGAAGTTGCTCATTTCCCCTGATGAAACTTTATTAGCAAGGTGGAAAAAATACATATCAAAACATAATGCAGTACTCATTCCCAAAGGAGGTGATAACACAACCAGGGAGCAAATGTCGTATCTCTACGTGGCAAATGACCAAAAGCGACATTGCGGGTTAGGGTCAGTGGTGCATTCACTCAGATGAATGGAGAGATGACTTCCACGTGGTTATGATCCACAGAAATGTGGCAATGGGCTACATGCCCTGCATGTGCCACTGGGTTCAGAATGCTTATAAATAAATTCCTGAATAGCCGTACAGATGATACTCTCAGAGCAAAGAGTTCTGGTATGTATGGGTTCCTTTGGGAGTTCAACACAGCTGTGTTAAAAGGTCAATGAAAGGTGGTAGCAAAATAGAAAATTTAAATTATGTGCCTCAAAATGTACCTAGAAATATATTTAACAACTTCCAGTCAAGGCTTGTTAAAATAAAGCCATAAGGAAATTTTTCTCAAGAGTACAGGATAAAACCTGCATAAAACCACTGGCCAAATCTCAGCCTTGACTGTGTTCAAACAAATCTTCCTGTGAGTGCCCACCTTTCTAGCTAAATTCCTGTCCCTGGTCTTGAGACTACCTCTTATCACACAGTTGTGCTTGCATCTGCTTCCCTACTAGATCAGATGGATTTTGTGCAATTATTTATCTTTGTGCCACTGTACACCTAATGCAATGCTTTCTAAATCACAGCTTACAATGTGTGGTTGCTTAATAAAAGTCATTCCCTGACAATAATTTCCAGAAGAGAATTAAGAAATCCAATTGTTTGACTTTTAATTCAATTGTACTGTATTGGTTACAAAAGCAGGAATCCCCCAAAGTGCCAACTCTGTCTGCCTTCATCAAACCCTGCCTTCAACAATTACCCTCTGTCATCAACTCAGTCTTCCTGTAAATCTCCAGTTGGATAACTTGGTTTCTGGTGAATTCTCAGAGTCTTGTAACCTTTTTGTCTGAATGTAGCTAAAATGCTCTAGACTCGAAGAATACTTATTTACATTTCTAGTGTTTTATAGAGATGAAAAGTGGTTGTTTTGTAATCTGAATTCTCTTCTTTTTTATCTTATCCTCTTCCCATGTTAAATAAGATGTCCTTGTCCAAATTGAGTCATCTATTTTCTTTCTTGCTTTGGCCCTCCTGAGTCTCGGAGGGCCTAGTCCTTAAATCCCAGAGGTTGTAAATACTATACGTCCTAATTATAGAATCTGAATTGACATCTGACTATAGACCAGACTATTTTCAGCCTCTTATTTAAGACTTTAAAAGGTCTGGACATCTAAACAGCCCTTTGTGAAATATTTCATGCAATGTCTTCCAGTCACATTCAGGATGAGTGTCGTTGTTTTTTATAAGGGACCTTCTACTGCTGCCTCTTTTGACATTCAAAACATTTACAAGACTGTGAGTCACCCAACTCAAAGACTATGTCAACTTCCTTGACCACCTGAGTTTTAGTGGGTAAGTGTATTTTCCTAGTCAGTTACTATCTAATGAAAGAAACATTTTCTATCAAAGATTTCAAATGCAAATGTGTTTTCACCAAAGTTGTTGAAATGATAAAGTCTTCCACTCAGATTGAGCATACACACACAAATAGAAACACACACAAATATACTATGTCTTATGTTGAATTGAAGTGCTGAGAAAAATCAAGTAACAGAAATAACTAGGGGACAGGAAGTTTCATCAGCATAGATTTATTTTTGAAAAAATGATGATTTTTGATAGTAATAAAAAAGTAGGAATGATATGGATTATAGTAGAAGAGCAGAGAATAAATATCATAGTACATGAGAAAATTCAGAAACAAAAGAAAATTAAACCACATCATCATTAATTAAGTTTTTGTTTAACATTTCTTATGTACCCTGTACTGGGGTAGGGGGAAGGATGCAGCTGGTCATTCAGGACACATTGCTATGCCCCCTGCCCCCCAAAAATAATCTAGGTAAGGATATGAGATAGTTTATATATTTGTATATAATTTGTGTGTGTGCATGCAAGTTAATTATAAATGAAAGATAATATCTAACCTAATCACCATATACATATGATTTTTTAAATCTATTAAATATTATGAAAAGAAAGAGCACTTCAGAGTCTAGTAGTCAGGGAAGATGTATTAGAAAATATGGAACATAAAAGGGAGTTGAATATAAAAAATAATATAGCTACATGAGTATATGAAAGACCATGAGAAGAAAGTATAAAAGCAGTACTTGGCTAAGATGAAGAATAAAGAATATCTTAGCTACAACCAAATTCTTATTTAAATCTCAGAAAAAGAAGCTGATGAATTAAGAGGATTCTGAAAACTATATGATTTTCAAAACTGTGATGACAATGAAGCAACATCCTTTTGATCTTCTCCTCCATAGCCTTGGCTTATCTCTTTTCCTATTCACAGCAGTCATTTAACTCAGTTTTCTAACCTAGGACTTATAGAGAATAAATGTCATATAAAATTTGATATTTCAAGAAGCTTAGATAATAAAAATTGGATTATTCCCCAGACAAGTCAGACAGAGTTAAGTGAGTTATACTTGAACAAGCAGCACTGAACCATAATTTAGTTTCCTGGAAAAAGTATGTGGGGATAAGTACTCTCCTTGGCAAGATGAGGAAGAGGAATACAACGTGGTAGAAGAGACCAGATTAGCAGCTAGAAGACCTGAACTCTGATACTGACTTTACCTTGGGAGCATATTATTTAGTTTTGTTATATTCTATTTAGTTCAAAAACTTTGAAACCTTTCTAACCCAGAAGCTATACTACATGCTTCAGATTCAATGATAAAGCCCATCATCCCTGTATATAAGAAGTTTATGATCACTAGAAAGACCCAAACAGATAAGATGAATGCAATGCCACATACTAGGTGCTATTATTGGATTGGCATAGGTTATTTAGCTCAGGAGGTGACGCCTCACCTTTATCTGTAAGACAGATGCTTTTGCAGTCAACAAGGGTGTGAGTCATGGTCAAAATGAAGTAGGTTACAGTAGAGCAACATGTTTTCTGCAGAGCGTGGTACAAAGAAAAAGGCTTGTCATAGCAGGTGTGTGGACCTCAGCAAAGATGGCAGAGATGACTAGCAGGGCAGGTGTACAAGAGTGTCATGTCAAGCAACTGCTTTCATTTTATAGCCATTAAAATAACCATCAAGGGCCCTCCCTGGTGGCACAAGGGGTTAAGCACAGCACTGTGAAACTATCAGCAGCCTCTGCAGCATGAGTTCGATGCCCAGTCGGTCAGGGAGCTACCCCATGGTACAGCAGACCTCTCCTGTCTCACCTGCTGCTTCCCTCAACAATGTATTTCAGGCAGTCTGCCTGTTCTGTTCCCCACTCTGTCTCTGGTGAATCTGCTCATCTCCCCTGCACCTCTGGTCTATACCCCAGTTCTTGTATGCGTAAATAAATTTTTTTTTAAATAGCCATCAAGCTGGAGATGTTGAGTGGTGCAGTGTCATACTTGGTTTCTCCTGAATTTCTAAACCTGTTTCTGAAAGTAAAAATGATTAGGACTCTGGATGTTGTTATTATGAAGTAAATGCTATTTGTATTATGTTATGATTTATAGCAATAAAATAGCTTATACATGAGAGCAATCGTTCCAAATGAAACACATTGTAACGTGGTATTGTACAAAGTTAAGGGAAGGAAAAATTGAAGTTAGTTCCTTGGAAATTTGGCTTTCAAAAAGCTATTGTGACTGCTTCCTGACATGTATGCACTGGTAGAAATTTTTTTTAAGGGTGTGCTATGGAGAGAGCCTTGGAGAGAAATCAATTTCCTCAGACCAACCAGGGCCTGTGATGAGGCTGTTCTGTCTCTCAGAGAAAAAGTTCCATACACAGTTCCATTGAAAAATGATTCATGAAAATGAAATCACTAGTCGCAGCATGAGAAATCTCCCTACCCATAAATCACCACTCCTATCTAGCTGTTCTCAGCTAAAAACTTTAAAAATAATAATGATGATCACTGTTATCACACCACCCACCTTCTAATAGTATTTGCTTACCAATATCTTTCCTTACTTGACCTCGACCCGGTCACCATCCACAGTGACCGCCAGTGATCAGGGGCAGGTGTATCCATCTGCACAGATGGATGTTGCAAAATGGTATATGCAACTTAGATATGTGAATATCCCAAAAGTAATTTGTCTATTATTTTTGAAAAATAATAACATCAGTTTTTGGAAGCAACAGACTATTCTTGTTTACTTTTGGGCAGTAGCAAAGAAGACATGGAAATATTCTGGGCTGCATGAAAGAGATGTATATTTAAGATCATCAAATTAAAATATGTTTATTATTAAATATTTGGAAATTAAAAATATATCAGAAAACAAACCATATCACCTCTTATCTTATTATAAATATGACTTTGTACCTTGCTTTTTCTCTCATGTTTTTGTAGCTTTGGAAATATCAAACAGTTGCTTCTTTCAAACTTTGCTCATTTCTATAGTGTAGTTAATCATTCTATTATTGAACGTTAATAATTTCTTGTAAAAATTATCTAAGGTACTATCTTTATCTAGATAGATTGAGATGGGGAAGAGAGGATGGAGAGAGGTCTATATGCTGAATCTGGAAATGTGATACCTGACTTGAAGGGCCTGGGGAGGCATTCTGTTTACAAGGATAGTTATCATTTTGTATCCCACACTCATTCACAGAAAGAAGTTCTCCAAATGCCCAATTTCAATAGAACCACTGTGGTCACACAGTTCATCTTGGTGGGTTTCTCTAGCCTGGGGGAGCTCCAGGTGCTGCTTTTTGTCATCTTCCTCCTCCTGTACTTGACGATCCTGGTGGCCAATGCTACCATCATGACTGTCATCCGCCTGAGCCGGCCCCTGCACACCCCCATGTATGGATTCCTCTTCATCCTCTCCTTCTCTGAAACCTGCTACACCTTCGTCATCATCCCTCAGCTGCTGGTCCACCTTCTCTCAGCCACCAAGACCATCTCTTTCACGGCCTGTGCCACACAGCTCTTTTTCTTCCTTGGCTTTGCCTGTACCAACTGCTTCCTCATCGCCGTGATGGGATATGATCGTTATGTGGCGATTTGCCACCCCCTGAGGTACACGCTCATCATGAACAAGACGCTAGGGTTGGGGTTGGTTTTTCTATCAGGAGTCACAGGTTTCTTTATTGCTTTGGTGGCCACCAACCTCATCTGTGAGATGCCTTTTTGTGGCCCCAACAGGGTCAACCACTATTTCTGTGACATGGCACCTGTTATTAAGTTGGCCTGCACAGATACCCACATAAAAGAACTGGCTCTATTCAGCCTCAGCATCCTGGTCATCATGGTGCCTTTTATATTAATTCTCATCTCTTATGGCTTCATTGTTAACACCATTTTGAAGATCCCCTCAGCTGAGGGCAAAAGGAAAGCCTTTGCCACCTGCGCCTCCCACCTCACTGTGGTCTTCGTCCACTATGGTTGTGCCTCTATCGTCTACCTTCGGCCCAAATCCAAGTCTGCCTCAGACAAGGATCAGTTGGTGGCAGTGACTTACACTGTTGTTACTCCCCTACTTAACCCTCTTGTATACAGTCTGAGGAACCAGGAGGTAAAGACTGCTCTGAAAAGAGTTCTGGGGATGCCAGTGGCAAACAAGGTGACTTAACAAAAAGTTTAAATTAACTATAGTAGTCACAAAAGCCAAAGCACTCTGTCCCTTTGTCAGTCCGAACATGACTTGGACAATAGATCCAAGACAAAGACCACTGGCACCTTTTTTCTTTTCTCCCCTTCCAGAAAAGAGCAAGTCCATCTATATGGTACATTGTTCAGTGCCTAATTAAAATCAAAGAAAACTCAACTTGGCAAAAGAAAAAATCATGATAGGCTTTTAGAAGGGAAGATACAATACTCAAAATGAGGATGGTAAGGACTGTTTTCTGGTTGGATAGAGAAACCAGGATCTGAAGTTACTGGGAGCAGCTCATCCGGGACACAGGCTTTCACCAAAGAGTAAACCACTATGTACCAGGTTCCGTGAGAAATAGGAAAATTAAGATGAATAAATTGATGGTTTATGGAAATGAAGGAGTAGGTAAATAGGAAATGGAACAAGAAAAAACATTACAATTATATCCAGACAATCAGAGTTGTTCAAATGATGTAAACAGAGTCATGAGAACCAAAAGAATAAATATTGCTTCCTTCTGAAAGAAAAAAGATTTGTAATAAGTGAGATGAGAGAAGAAGGGGGAAATTTGAACTGAGCATTATGAAGAACAAGATCTCAATTATAAAGGAGCTGGGTTTTCCAGTGACCAAAATGTTGGTCAATGTTGATATTATTCAAACTATCTTTTTTTTCAAAATTTAATAAGTTTATTATTATGCTAATTATGAATGAAAAACACATTTCATTTTTTGTTTGCAGTTTCACTTTGTTTTCTCGGGGCTAAGTCTTTTAGTGGATATGATTTTATTTTAATAAAGGACTTAGCCAACAATGAGATCTTCAGGTTTGCTGCTACATGGAACATAGTGCTCTGAAGGGTCAGAAGTATCTTTAACCTTCCCATTGACAAACATTATGACAGACACAATGTAAAAGCTTATATGAATGTAACATTTTACTATAATAATTTGAACTGCAAATACTAAGCAGAATTGGTGTTAAAGCCTAACTCTTTTTTTCAAGCCATATAATGCAAGAAATGATATTTTTAATTATTGGCACTGGTGAAAACTTGATTTTTTTCATCTGTAGAACTATTTTTTTTTCTGAGTGAATATGTGTACCATCTAGTTAGCACCGTGCTTTATTCTGCTGGGAGACACAAATGCTGATAATTAGATCTCTCTTTTGCACAGTGACCCAATCAATCCTAGAATGCAAATCTTCTGTTTGTTAAAATTACATTGCAGCACACAAGTGAAAACCTACATTATCATATAAACAAGGAAAAGATTTTTAAATCATAGGTTCACCAAAATGTTCTGTTCCCTCCATAAGCACCCTGATTCCCTGGTACAATGAACACTCATGTCCAGTAGATTAATTTGCTGCAAATTAGGAGATTGGTTTGTCTGCATATTTCAGTCCTCAGAAGATAAGTCCTACATGTTTGCTCACAAAACCATTCATAATGGTTGTAATTATTATTTTATCTTTTTCTACTTGTGAGATATATTTTCTACTATTTAGTCCGGTGAGGTGTGATTACAAAAATGATTATTTTTTTCTAATACAACAGCTTGAATATTTGGGGAAGATTAAATATGTGCAATAAAAAACCCAGAAGAAAACAAAATCATAAATAGCGAGAATGTTATTTACTCAGTTTCTTGCCCAAGTGTCTCTTGAGTCCCTGCTCATCTTTAAATCCATCAGAACTGATCTAGGGGTGATTAGTGAGCTCAGTGCTAGTGAGCACCAATCAAATAGTCTAATGCTCAAAGTAAAAGGCTCACGCCTAAATGAAAATATGTATAAATATATGCATATTTGAGTGGTTGGGTTGAAATAAAACATTTCAGTCATTCACAGCATTCTTTTGACTTTCTATCTTACCAGCCTTTTTTAATTAATCAGTGAACCCCCTGATGCAATCAGATCCAGTAGACTCGCATAAGCTCAAGGGAGAGGGGTCCTCATACATGTTTTCAGTGATGCAAAAAGGTAGTTTTCTGAGGACAACAGAGATGTATAAGCAAAAATAAGAAAGAAGAGTTGTGCTAAAATGGTAGATGTATAGTTGATGAAATTTCACTGAATCCCATTTAAGGCTGTGTAATTATAGGGGCTGCCGCGCTTACAGTCACTTATAGCTCAGCTCCCCCCTGTCCTGTTATCAAAAATTTGCTCTTTCTTTCTTTGGTCTTCTAAGCTGAATTTTTTAGACCCTGGGGATTCATATTCAGAGGAGAATCAGAGTGCTCTCCACACAAAGCTGAGTAAGTCCCTCTGCACACCAGGCCTTCCCGCACTGACGGTCAGTGGTCAGCGGTCAGTGGTCAGCGGTCAGCGGAAGGATTGTTGCTGGGGGCAGAGGGGCTCCCAGGGGCCCAGTCCTCCCGGAGGGCGTACAGCGCTGTAGTTCTGAGCTGCATTCACCTGTTTCCCAGATGAGTCAAGTCTCCTCGCTTTTGCCCTCTGCAGGTCTCAGCTCCGGCCTTCCCAGAGTCGCGTTCACTGCCCTGCTCTCCACTGCCAGCTGCCTCAGGGACCCCGAGGCCTAGTCTGTTTACTGAGTTATCCAGGCAGCTGAGACCCCCACTTCTTTTCTCCACAGGGGGACTTGCCTAGAAAGAGATTTTCTTTGAAACCCTCAAAAGACAGAAGATTTAATCACTTCTTTTCTTTGAAAGTGGCTTTGTCGGGCCTCCCCGGTGGCACAGTGGTTGAGTGCTGGGTTGCGAAGCCGCCCGCGGCCTCTGAGACGCCGGTTCGATCCCCGGCTGCTCCCCGGCCACCAGAGGAGGGTCCCACATGGCGCAACAGACCTCTCCTGCCGCCCGCTGCTCCCCTCAGCAGTGTACTTTGGTTCTTCTGCCTGCTCTGCTCCCCGCTCTGGCTCTGGTGAATTCTCTCACCCTCCCGCGCTTCTGACTGTACCCAGTGCATGTATAAACAACAAACAAACAAACAAACAAATAAATAAAACATGCCTCTATTAAAAAAAAAGAAAGTGGCTTTGTCACTAGAAAACTGTTTGTTAACGAAAAAAAGATTAAAATCCCACCACTTAGTGGTAAACAGCTAAGATGTAAATTTGAAAAGAAAAATTGTTTGAAGTAGTCTATGAAATGCTGCATTTAACTAGATGCCAGTTTTAAAAGAATAATATTTGTTGTATCCAGTAAGTAGCCTAAAAAATTACCTACTACATGTCTCCAAAAAGTCATAGTTTTATTTTAATATAAATATGGATTTTTATTGTGGGAAAAGGAAAGCATTTCTTGACAGGAGTGGCTGCAAGATTTTCAATTTTGCTCATGCAAATTCCTTTCTGAAAACATACATTAACATAAATGTTAAATAACTAACATTTTAATAAAATTGAGAATATTTATTTTGATCTTTTGTCCTTTTCTCAGCTTTATTGAGAAATAATTGACAAAAAAATTGCAAAATATTTTAAGTATATAATGTCATGGTTAGATACATTGACTGAAATAAAAGTCTCAATGATAGACGAAGAGTTTACTTGATCACCAAAGTGAGAATTCAAACCCAGGAAACTGCCCAACAGATCTTACTCAGTGAGAACTGTCTCCAACAAATCACAAGTTTGAGTTTAGTTTATAAGCTTCATTATGTAGTAGGATACATGCAGAAAAAGAAAGGAAGAATGAGTCACTGATGTAAAAAATGTAGTATTCTTGACAAGGGGCTTTGGGTTATGTTTATAGGGTGAGATCTTTTAATTTCCTGTTATATTGACCCAAAGATGCCAGTTATGCACAGAGGAGGGCAAATGCCAGGATTTAATGGCTACCCTGACATCTACAGAGTGTGTCCTGAAGACATAAAACCTAGGTCCTCTAGCTTTTATGGTCTTGTCTAGACCTTCCTTTGCTGGCTTTTTTGGTCATAATTAGGTGTTGCAAGTGTTGGTTTCATGCAGGCACCAGATAGCTGCTTCACAAAACAGGTCAGAGCTTGCTCTAACTTTAAGCCTATGCAGATGGCTTTGCCCTTTGGCCTACTAACCAGTTTGTTCCCAATATGTTCATATGTTCACAGATATAATTAAAGGTAGATTTAGATATAGATATAGATATTTCAATATATGCATTGTGAAAAGATTCGTCCCATCAAGTTAATATTTAGCTTTTTTTTGGTGAAAACATTAAAGTTTTACTCTCTTAGCAAATTTTGATTATGCAATACAGTGTTATCAGCCATAGTCACCTGCTATAAATTAGCTTGTCAGACATTATTCATCTCACAGCTGAAAGCTTGGATGCTTTTACCAACCTTATCCTATTTCCCCACCCCTATCCTCTAGCAATCTTTTTTTTTTTTTTTTTTTTTTTTTTTTTTTTTTTGCATAGAAGAACTGGGATGCAGGCCAGAGGTGCAGGGGGTGAGAGGATTCACCAGAGACAGAGTGGGTAGCAGAACACTGAAATACACTGCAAAGGGGAGCAGCAGGAGACACAGGAGACGTCTGCTGAGTCATATGTGGGTTAGCTTCTTGGCCAGGGATCGAACTGAGACTGTAATGGTGCTAGCACTGAGACTTAGCCCCTAGGCCACCAGGGAGGCCCCCTAGCAATCAATTTTTTACTCTGTTACTGTGAGTTAGACACTTTTTAAATTCAACATCTGACACCAAAATGCATTTGTCTAGCTATAAAAAGGTAGAAAAAAAACTAAAACAACTTGTCACTGCAACCACATGGATGGATCTTGAGGGCATTGTGCTAATTGGAGTCACTTAGATGTTCATAGCAGCCTTATTCATGATCACCCCTTGTTGTTATAGCAGAGTTGTTGGGTTTAGGCTGAGTCTGGTCTTTCTCCTCTATTGCAATAGCCTTCAACAAAATCCTTCTTGGAATGTTTAACATTGTCTGGCATCAATTTTGCTTTGTTAGAGCAAACAACCATTTATATGGTTATCTATCTCCAGAAAAGGACAGTGTAGCTCTCTTTGAAAGCAGTCCACTATAGAAAGACTGAGGAAAATATAAAGGTTAAATTTAAAAGTTCCTCAAGAGACCCATACATGAAGAAAACAAAAGTAAATTATATCCATGAAGTAAAACAGATTAAAATATTTTTTAGTGGCATTCTTATTAGACTTCTGGAGAAAATACTCTATGCATTAGCGCTGGACACAAAACAGTCACTTTTAATTAAAGTTGATGAAGGTGGAAGTATAATGTCCACTTCTGGAGCCTCCTACTTAATGACTGCTACTTCTACAGTACAAAATTTTTTGGTTTTCCTAATGTTCACATACTTTAAATTCATAAACTTTAGATTCTAGACTGTACATAGCACCTCCTAATTTTGTAAGGAATGTACATAATAGAGGAGCACTGCTGGAGTTCACGGCATGTGCCCACATTATCAGGATAACTTCTCTGTTTACCATGGTTAGTTTTCATGAAAAACAACACTGAAGGAAAAGTTAAATCCACTAAATAAGTCTAGTATATAGCTGCGGGAATGCCAATTCATTTATCTTACCATAACAACCAAATTACAAAGTATATAGAATCTGTAACAATGGATACAAGCAATTTCTCAAACCAGTAAAAAGGAACATGGTAAAAATAGAGTAAGCTGATTTAGATGACATTGGTCATGAACCGAACTGGGCCTATAATGGCCCTAGATACTCTGTAAATTTTAAACTGAAATCAACTTTCCTCCTTCTGTGTATATAAGGGTAATTTCATATATTGGACACATTGCTTTTAACAGATTGTCAAAGTGTTGCAATAGATAAACCAGAGTGATTAAAGTGATTAATCATAACCATAGACCCGGTCAGGTCAAATTTCTGACTCTTTGTGTACAAAATAACCTTTAGACCCCTTATTTACCAAGAAACCCTTCAAAATTTTATTCTAGAGGAAAAACAAAACTAACTTTACATAATGTAAAAAGGAGAGTGTTTCTTGGTTTCATTTGAGGCTCAAAAGCTGAGGGAAGAAAATGTGCCAACCAATCAAAATTTAAATGTTTTATTAAAAATGGATGGAAATGCATTTTTGGAAGAAGCTACTGGAGTTCTAGGTATTTTATCTCCCCCCCACCTCAAAAAAAAAGGAAGGAATTCCTTCAAGATTAGATATTGTCCCTGGAGAAAAAGAAACAAGGTCATTGGTATCTGACTTGACCTGAGAGAGTTGATGTAAGAGTCTGAGGCAGTGATTTCAAGTATTAGAGAAGAGAGGAAAAATGACTGCACTTCCAATGATTTGACTCAGTTGGGAGAAAAAGTCAATCTGAAATCACTTAAAATGGACATAATCCAGCATGACCTCCAGGAGAGACATGACCCAGAAAAGTGAAGGACTTTCAGAATTAGGAGACAAATGCATAACCTGTCAACCAGATGTGACTACAAACCTATCACGAGAAAAGGAGTGAAAGCTCAAAGTTGAGAATCCTTTTAAAACCCCATAAATTCTCCCCACATGAGAAAGGCTCAGTGCCCACAAGTGCAAAGCCTGAGAGCTTGATGGAGCTCCACAGGGCAGTCAGGTGAGAACTTTCTTCCATCTGCTCCTTCTCCCGCCCCAGTGAACTCTTTGAGGATCAGTTGTTGCGGTTAGTAGAGAGAGAGGGGGTGACTGGCAGAGCTATTATATGTCAGCCCCCACCCTCCCCTATGTATCTGCATGAGTTAAAGAAGACCAGCACCAGGGAAAGAGGAAAGTTTTACCCTTAAGTGAAATTTAGACTTTTCGTTATTATGATATCAAGAGTTTATATTTGAGGAGCTCCCTGAGAGTCCATCTGAAAAAACTGAAAAAAGACTACTCTGAATTGGCTTTAAAGAGTTTGTGAGGAGAAAAACATTTTTCAAGATATGCATCTTATAGTTCTTCAATTTCAAAAAGTCAGTTACTGATATAATCTGCAATGTAATGAGGAGGTCATTACTTTCTATAACATCTAAAATTTAATGTTTCAGTTATATAATTTTAGAGATTCTTTCTTTCCCGGAAATTTTCTGATAGCCACTTGGACATCCTTGTTCCTGAGACTGTACACCATGGGGTTTAGTAATGGGGTGACAATGGTATATGTCACTGTTACCAGCCTGTCCTTGTTGGACACGAGGTTTGCCGTTGGCCTCAGATAGATGTAGGAAGCACAGCCATAGTGAATAATGACAACGGTAAGATGAGAGGCACAGGTAGAAAAGGCTTTCCGTTTGCCTTCAGCAGAGGGGATCTTCAAGATAGTCCTTAGAATGCAGAAGTAAGAAACACAGACGAATGAAAATGGTACCACGAGTACAAGAACCCCACAGATGAATATGACAAATTCATGAGCATCTGTACTGGTGCAAGCCAGGCGAATGACTGGGGAGATGTCACAAAAGTAATGGTTCACCTTGTTGGCACTACAGAAAGGAAGGCTGAAAACTAGATTTACTACTATGAGTGAGGCTAAGAAGCCTCCAGTCCCGCAGGCAGCTGCCAGTCTCCTGCACATCTGCCAATTCATGAGGATGGGATAATGCAGAGGGTGGCAGATGGCAGCATAGCGATCATAGCCCATCACTCCCAGGAGCAGGCAGTTGGTAATAGCAAAACCGAGGAAGAAGTACATTTGAGTGGCACAACAGATAAAAGAGATGGTCCTGGCCACAGACAGGAGATTGATGAGCATCTTGGGTAGAATGACAAAGGTATAAAAGGTCTCCGATGTTGAGAGGATGCCCAGGAAGAAGTACATTGGTGTGTGGAGGCTTTGATCCAGGCGAATGACACTGATAATGGTGGCATTACCACTGAGAATGACTAGATACAGAAAAAGAAAAACTACAAAGAGGACAAGCTGGATTTCACCAAGGCTGGAAAAACCCAGCAACAGGAATTCGGTGACAAAGGTCAGGTTTTCTGCAAAGACCTGAAGAAAGAAGGGAAGATGTAGACACATTCAGGTACATGGATATAAGAGTCTGGCAAGTGTAAAGCTGTGATCCTTTCTGGAGGTGCTTGGAAGATTCTTGCCTTTTACTTGCCTTTTCCAGTTTTACTGGCCTCTCATATTTCATTGATTCATGGTCTCCCCCATCCATCTTCAAAGGTGATAAAGGTACATCTCTTTCTCTGACTCTCTGATTCTCATTTCTACTTTTAAGAGACTTTTGTTTGCACTGGACACACCTGACTATTACAGGATAATCTTTCTATCTGAAGGTCAGCATATTAGTAACTTTAATTCTATCTGCAAACTTAGTCCTCCTTTTTTTATATAATTTTACATATTCACAGTTCCAGGAATTAGAAACAAGAATATCTTTGGAGGTGCCATTATCCTAAATACTACAACTAGCGGTGCACTATCCAAAACTGAAATAAAGAAAATAATTACATGTACACAGAAAACTACCAAACATTGTCAAGAGAAATTAAGAAGATTTAAAACAAGAGATAGCTATGTTCATGCTTAGAAGAATCAGAATTATTAAAAGGCTATTCTGAAAAAACTGATCTGTAAATTCTTCATAATTCCTATCAATCCCCAGCAGGAATCTTGTAAAAATCAAGAAATTATCAAAAAATTACATAGAAAGGAACCAGAATAGTCAAATATTTTGTGAAAAAGAACAGTATAGATAAAAATTTAACTTTCTCATTTCAAAACTCACTCTAAATGTACAATTATCAAGATAGTGTGGTGCTGGCATATAGTTACATATATGAGTGGACAGCATTGAGAGTCTAAAACCAAAAACTTCAAGGTCTGTAAGAAAATGAAGACACACCACACCCAGAGAAAAATATATTTGCAAAATACATATCTGATAAGGGACATGTAGCCAAAATAAATATAACTCTTTTATAAGTAATAAGATAAATATGAAAATGCATACATTGTGCAAAAATGAAAAATGATGTAAAAATACATAAAATAAAAAGGTTATCTAGGTTTCAACTGGAAATAAATAAAGGAAATGTGTATTTAAAAAAAACTAAATTGTTCAGCAAAAAAAAAAAAATAAGATAAATAGCCAGTTAAAAAATGAGCAAACACTGCAAATAAGATTTCACCAAAGTCTGGCAGTGGCTAACAGGTATGTGAAACTATAATCAATAACATTAGTCAGTAGAGAAATGCAAATTCAAAGGCTATGGGATAATGTTCACATGCACTAGACTATAAGTAACAGACACCACATGTGCTATGTGGGAGAAAGAGGTGAATGAGCAACACACACACTTTTAGAGCCATGGAATTGTTCGGTGTGATACTGTAATAGTGGATGCACATCATACATTTGTCAATTCCCATACAGTGTGCAAAATCAAGAATGAAACTTAATGTGAAATCTGGGTGATAATGATGTATCCCTGTGGAAAATGGCCAATAGAAACTGGAAATGTTTGTCAGCTGTAAAAAGTGTAACCCCAGGTACATTTGTGGAAAGAGTCTGGGGTGGGGCAGCAGATGTATGGGAACTCTGAATTTTCCACTTAATTTTGCTGTGAATCTTCAATGCTCTTTTAAAAAGTATATCTTAAAATAATAATAATTATAATAATAGACACCAGAAGGAGGATGTGAACAATCTGAAACTATCATGTAGTGCTGGTGGAGATGTAAAAATATGCAGTCATTTTATAAACCTTTGGGAGTTTTTTCAAACAGTAAAAGTAAACAGATTAGAACACAGCAATTTCATCCCGAGGACTATACAAAAGAGAAATGAATGCTATTCACACAAAGATTTTTTAATGAATCTCCCTACTTGCATATTAAAATAGCCCAAGGAGGGAAACTACACAATCATTTATTAATTTATGAGCAGATAAACAAAATTTGTTATAACCATAAAGTTGTATACTACTCAGCATTAAAAAGAAATGAACTATTGGTTTGTAGCATAATATAAATTATCTTTGAAAACATTGTAAGTGAAAGTAGCTGAATGCAAAAGAGTACATATTGCCAATCTTAGCTATATAAAGTGTTCAAGAAAGAAAAATCTACACATGTGGAGAGCAGATGAGTTGCAAGCTTGGAATGAGGGTAGAATGTGGGTTGACTGCAAAGAGGTAAGAAGCATTGGAGGAAGGAGTAAAATGTTCTAAAACTGGATTTTGGTGGTGATTATATAACTCTACCAATACGCAGAATTAAGCTGAGTGAACTTTATGATATATTAACCTATTTTAAGGTGACTTTGGGGAAATGCATAGTCATATTGCAAGAAAATTAAAGGATTAAGAAACAAGGTTGCTTGAAGGATAAAAATGGAAAATTAAGTCTAAGTATCATAGTAGCAAGTAAGAGCAATTCATTTCAAATAACATATACTTGCAACAAAAATACAATTAGAAACATTAGAAAGAAAACAACAAATGGTAAATTATAAAAAAAAAAGTACACAATATTCAGATTAGGAAAAAATATACATGCAATACACTGAGGGTGGAGTCCAGCAAGATAGCAGCAGAGGGTCTCCCTGGTGGCACAAGGGGTTAAGCACCACACTATGAGGCGGTCTGCAGCCTCTGCAGGATAAGTTCGATCCCCAACAGGCCAGAGAGAGACCCACATGGCAAAGCAGACCTCTCCTGTCTCACCCGCTGCTCCCCTCAGCAGTGTTTTTCAGTCGGTCTGCCTGTTCTGTTTCCCACTCTGTCTCTGGTGAATCCTCTCACCCCATGCATCTCAGGCCTGTACCCCACCTCTTGTATCCATAAATTAATAAATCTTAAAAAAAAAAAAAAGGCGGCAGAGAGAAGACCACAGCCTGCCTCCTCCACACATTCACAACTAACAAAAACAATAACCCCTGAGAGATAAACAGAGGGCTACAGCCTACAACAGGAGCGAAGGTCCAATGGAAAAGGCTAAGAAAAATGTTCATTGAAGTGTGTTTGTTGTGATGCCAGAGCAGTATAACTTAAGCAAACCTTATAACATAACTCCTTAGGAAAATGAAGAGGGGGAGCTGTTAAAAGTTAGTTTCTCACTACGCTCCAAATTAATCGTTTCCAGTTCACATATTTTACCCCAATATCTTAATTGCAAGAAATCCATGCCACTCACTGGCCATGCAGTGCTATTTCCTGTGTGGGCAGATCCTCTAATCTCTCAAGAGAGAGTAAATCATCCACTATCAAATACCACCCCTGCAGCATTTCTTGCAATTCAGCACATATTTATAGGGTACAGGCTAAATCAACCAGAGTAGAGATGCCTGCCCTCGTGGAACATACATTCTAGAACTTCTCCATTTCACATAATTCTACATCATGATCTCTCTTTCTCAGCACAGTTGGAGTTCTTAGAACACAGAGATCATGTTGGTGTTCACTTGATGAGTTTACATGACAGGAATCCATGTATTCACACATCTCTAAACCCATCAGCACCAGAGTTCCTAGCAAACAGCAAGTATTCAAAATCTATGTGAGAAAATCAATGCTAAACAAGTTAATACACAAATAAGTCACTGCAACTGGCCTGTGGCCATTTGCCATATAACTGGTAAAGGTATTAAATGAGCATGGAAGTTAGAGACTCGTTTATATTGTGAAGAAACTGCTAGATGTGGAATTAAAAGAAACGAACTCACGGTCTTGTTTCAACATTGTCTTTGAATGTATAACTTAATTTTCCTCAGTCTTAGTTTTCCCCTCTGAAGTTTGGGGTACTCTGAGGATTAAAGACAGCACAAGCAAAAAACAAAGCCCCAAGTACACATAAGATGCCCTAATCAAATATGTTCTCCCTTCCTTAAAACCAATGCTATGGATACCATGTAGTATAAAAGTGCCTTTTCTGTTTTGTAATGCCAGTGTGAGACTTAAGCTTGGATGGCCAAGGCACCCTTTACAAAGAGACAACCACTTCAAAGAGGGCTCTCTGAAATGTACACATCGCCAGCCACAGACTCTAGATAGAGAATCAGGCTTCCTGCTTCCCCCAGGCACTTTTGTTGGAAGAGATCTTGGCTGATTTCAATAACTGATCAGGTGGGTTACTATTTTTTCTTCCCCTCCCTTGTGTTAATTTTGCTCTTAGATTTTAAGTTCAACGACGAAGACTGAGTGAGCCCTTGAAACCTGGAGCTCCCACCTCTACCCCAATAAAAACAGGATCTCTCCCTCTCTCTCCCTCACACACACACACACACACATACACACACAAAATCTCCCTGTGTGACCCTAAGCATGATGTGTAATTTCCAGAAGCTATGAGCAATAAACCTTTATATTTTTTTCAAAGTTCCCTGATAGTTCTTTCTCAGGGCATCTTACAATCATATTGCTGTGGGCCTATCCTGCCTTATTGGCTACTGGCAGCCTGAGACTGAGATGATATACACCTTCTCTCACCATTCTGCAGTTTCTCTATTGCTTTCCTTTTCCCCTAATGTTAAACTCTCATCCTGAGCATCACCTTGTCTCTCCATCCATCCACTGTCCCTCTGCCACCCCCGATGCTTTATGGTCATGCACACATAGTTTTGTAGAGCTCTCAGCAATATCTGAATTGACCATAAGATGAAAGGTTTATTAAATAATTATCTACGAGATGGCATAAATACACTACAAGAGTTTGGACAATATAGTGAGTCATTTCCTTCAAGATGTCTATGAAATAAGAAAGACCAAGTCGTCAATGTGAGTTTCACATTCCCCAAAATCTGAGTTCTAAGATATAAAGGAATGTAGGCATCCTGCAACCTGATCTTAGCCCAGGGCCTATAAGAAAACAGTCAAGCAACTGGCTACAAATTGCACCATTCCTAGAGTATTACACATCTTCCTCCATTATCTTACAGCTTTTCACACCAATGACAAAAGACTCACCTCACTACCCAGAACAGAGCTCATGGTGCCTCTTCTGTATGACACGGCCCAACTATGACTCTAATGAATGTCACCAATAGTCATTTTTCTGGTTATCAGCATTAGTGTAAATCCCTTGCTTGGCAATTTCACTACCCTGCACCCTAGAGTGCTATTACCACAAGGCCCCTCATGTATGACCTGCTTACTCTCAATTAGCAACTAGGATCCAAGGGGGAACTGGACCACAAGGCTCTCTTGCCAAAAAGAAATCACACAATAGACTAGGGGAATTATTAGTTTCCTATTTTTGGCTACCTAGTAGGTGAATCATTCAAAATTTAGAGACTCCTGGATACCGTCAGCAGAAAAGACCTGGTAACCCCCTCCCATGTCTTCTTCCTGCAGTTCTTACTGAATACACTCTGGTTGAAGGGAAAAATTCCTTGTACTTCTCCATCCTGCGCTCTAACCTCTATTTCAAAGAAAGGGAGAAAACCAAGCAATGTACTGGCATAGATCCAGCAATTATAGAGCAAAAAACAAATACAGGAGTGCAATATAGTGTGAGAGTACTCAGTGGCTGCATGCAGAGACACTATCTACGTATTTATTTCTTCTAAAAGGATATATTTCATTTAACTTCTATCATGAAATGTTATGTTAAGGTGACTCGGACCCAAATAAGGATCATCCCCCTTTGTAAGTCCCAATGGAGCAGAGAGAGGTAGCACTGCCTGCAGTGTGCCCTGAGGGGGTGTGGGACAGGTACACGTGAGAGGTCCTGTCACTGTAAGAGCTTATAGAGGAGAATTAGGAATGAGGTGGTAGAGGGTAATAATCCTTAGCTGAGGTTGTGCTTAAAGAAAGTCGTGGGTTTTTTTGTTTTTTTTTTTTTTTTTCATAGAAGGACACAGCGTAGGCCAGACATGCAGGAGTTTGAGGGTGAGAGGATTCACCAGAGACAGAGTAGGGAACAGAACAGGCAGATCTACTTGAGCAGCGGGCAAGACAGAAGAGGTTTCCTGCACCATGAGGGTTGCCCCCTGGCCGGTATTGAACTCAGGTCATAGTGGTGATAGCACTGAGACTTAAACCCTAGGCCACCAGGGAGGCCCTGAAGAAAGTTTTTAATAGCTGAATAGTACATAGTCAAATAACAAAAAAGAATAAATTTCAGGAAAATATGGAATGATACACACAAAATAAGAATTTGTAGAACAAAGCACCATTTGCAATAACAAGTACTTTGGTAGGAATTTGAACTTAAGTGGGGAAAGATTTACCTTCAAATCTCCTTGGAGCTATTGATTTGCTTATAATTGGAGCCATTATTGAGATCTTCATTTTAGGAAGATGTTCATGACAACAATGATGATAATTGACTGGAGCAGTATTAGCAAAATGGCAGAATGAGGGTTTCTATGTCTTCCTCCCAAAGGACAATGATTTCACCATCATTCTTTGGGGAAGTCCAGTAGAAAAGTTCCAGAACTCCACTGGAAAGAAAAATCTAGCATTGTATGCATTGAAGTGGGGTACAGGAACAATTTTACTTCACCTTTCTCATTCTTTCCCCAAGGTACCCCTAGGCACTATTCAGTGACAAGAAAGTACTTCTTAGCCATGATGTACCCACAAGGAGAAGTGAGAACATGTGTGGACACCCCCCTTTCCAGCTGCCAAAAAGGTCAACTGCTTTGCTACCTTAACCAATGTACTGAGGTATGCTGCATGCCTGGGGTTCAGGAGAGACTGAAAGAAGAGTGCCCAGGACCCCCCCAGGGAGCATCAAAGAGACCCAATTCCTACTAACCACTTTGTAGAAACCACCAATGGGGTGCTGGAGACCCCTCACCTAGGATTCCCCATGGAATACTTAAAAGTATTTGCTCTGACCCATGGATTATGTAGAAGTATTGCTTATTATCAAATACATGGAAAATTTCCAGAAATTTTTTCTATCGTTCTTTTCTTACTGAATCACACTGTGATCATAGAACATCCTGCATATGATTTCAATCCTTTTCAATATCTAAAGGTTTCCTTAATAGGCCATAATTTGATCTTTCTTGATGAATGCTCCTGTGCTGTTGAGAAGAGTGTGCTTTCTGCTAATATGAGGTGGAGTATTTATGTAACTAGGTCAAGCTGGTTGATAGTGTGGTTCAAGTCTTTAAGGTCTCAAATGTTTCTTCTGGGCCTCCCCAGTGGCCCAGCAGTTGAGCGCTGGGTTGCGAAACTGCCCGCAGCCTCTGCAGCGCCAGTTCGATCCCCGGCTGCTCCACGGCCACCGGAGGAGGGTCCCGCATGGTGCGCAGACCTCTCCTGCTGCCTGCTGCTCCCCTCAGCAGTGTACTTCGGTCCTTCTGCCTGCTCTGCTCCCCGCTCTGGCTCTGGTGAATTCTCTCACCCTCCCGCGCTTCTGACTGTACCCAGTGCTTGTATAAATAAATAAATAAATCATTTTAAAAAAAAGTTTCTTCTAATGTTCTCCATGCAACCATTTTCATCAGCATCCAGCCACAAACAATAACTGACTTATCTGAGCTTAACCCAAAATCTTGTCTCTAAGGAGAAGTCCATGGCTTCGTCAAACACAAATACTACATATTCATACATCCTCGTGGTCTGTATCAAAAGTGAAGTGGTTTTGGGTTTTGATGTTTAAAAGAAAAGTTGAGAATCTCTCTTCCAAAATTCCAAATTAAGCAACCTCAACAATGCTGTCAAACTAGATACATCCTATATCTAAGTCCATTTTGTGGCATGGGTCATGACAGAAACAATAAATTTCAGGTAAATTTGGCTAAACAGAGAAATTAGAGAAGTAGCAATTATGTTTTCAGCTTTAAGTTTGACGGACAACTTTCCATGAACTGAAATTTCATTTGGAAGAAAGCTCCATGTGATTGCACAGTTAATGCAGACACTAAAAATCCATTTCCTGGTGAAGCAACTTGCTGACTGGGGGATATAGACTTTTTCCTGAAAAAAGCAAAATTGTTCTCATATTTTTGGTAGATAGATATTTATCATGAATATGAACAGTTCTATTCTCATGTGTTATATTTCCTTAATTTTTTCCAAAGCACTTAAAATGCGTTTGGTTCTTTTTCCATTTTTTCCCAGCACACTTATTTCTAAGTGCTCATCTACTAAATGTTTTCAGTTTTCTAATGACAATGCTCCTAGTTTCCTAGAGAATCAGGGCCATCATTTTTATCACAGGCAATACTTATGCTCAAGTCATTGGAAAATTACCTTCAACACATCCCCAGCCTTCATTCCTCCCACCCTCGTCTTTCTTCTTTGGCCAGAGCAAAATATCAAGTCATCTTTAATTCTCTGTTGCTTCTATTGATACTTTCAAGTCTGTTATCTTGGGGCTCCTTAAGACAAATTTCCCTGCAATGGTGCTATTCCTATTAAGATGGCCGAAACACATGGCGCACCGTGGGCCTGAGCCCAGAGTCTTCCATCACAGTGAGGGCTGGGACCATATCATCACTGTTTACATGAGTTCAATCAAGTCTTAAGGAAGAGTAAAAGTAAAAGTAAACCCTGGTGGCGCAAAGGGTTAAGCACAGCACTATGAAGCTATATGTAGTCTCTGCAACAAGTCTCCATTTCGATCCCTGGCCAGCCAGGGAGCTACCCACCTGGTGCAGCAGACCTCTCCTGTCGTGCCCACTGCTCCCCTCAGCAGTGTATTTCTGTCAGTCTACCTGTTCTGTTCCCCGCTCTGTCTCTGGTGAATCCTCTCACCACCCACACCCACACCTCGGGCCTATACCCCAATTCTTGTATTCATAAATAAATAAATCTTACAAAAAAAAGGAACAGTGAAGGTAAAGTCCCAAGACAGTAATCCTTCTTCGTCTTTCTTTGTCTTAATACAAACTGGCGTTCTTTTTCAATGGTCCATTGTGTAGTCAAGATGAATTATCACTTATTGCTTTAGGAAAGATCTTTCAGTCTACATAACTACTAAAAACTGTCTCTTGGTTGATTCTTTAAATGCATCCTCTACATTGTAGGCCCAGTTATCTTTCTAAAATGAAAATATTATAGCTCATCCTTACCAATAATTTTTCTGTGTCAAAAAAAAAAAAAAATATATATATATGTATATATATTCCCCCGAAGTAAGAGAGGGGTGAACTGTGTCATCAGCAGACCTGTGCACAGCTTAGGAGAAAACCCCTCTGGCAATGTTTATAGTCAGAACTTGACAGTTTTATGCTTTTGTGTTAGTTGTTGGGAAGTAAAAACATGTTATTTCAATGTTAGACAAAGTTGTATCTTTATTATGTGTTCCATTTATGTTTTTAATTCAGACCTAAAGTCTGCATACCTGGCAAGTCACATCCTCTGCTAGACTTCCTGTTTAAAAAATCAGTAGGAATTCCAACTACTAAAAACAAAAGTTTGCAGTCATTCTTGACTCCGTTTTTGAGATGGCAGATAGAAAGGATCATCAGAGCCTATTGACTCTGTTTTCAAAAGACACTTTCAAATATCTTTTCACCACCTCAAACTCCATGGCTTACTGTTCTCATTGTCTTTTTGAATTATTGCAGACAGTTTGAAATCAGTCTTCTACTTCCACCCTTGACCTGTCCCGAAGGCTATTCTCAACAAAGCAGTCAGAATAGTCCTTTAAAAAAACAAATCAGATCCTATCTCTTCTCATGTCAGAACCCCCCAATGATTCCCATTCAATTCAAAGAAAAGGAGTAAGTCTCAGAGTGACCTACCAGATGATAAGTTAGCTGGAGACTCCCTCTTCCAGGACTCATTTTTTTTTAAGGTGACCCTTGCTGTTTTGGGTTTTGTTTTTTTTTTAAGATTTATTTATTTATGCATACAAGAGCTGGGTACAGGCCAGAGATGCAGGGGGTGAGAGGATTCACCAGAAACAGAGTGGGCAACAGAACAGGCAGATTGACTGAAGTACACTGCTGAGGGGAGCAGCAGGCAAGTCAGGAGAGGTCTGCTTCACCATGTGGGTGGCTCCCTGGCTGGCAAGATCAAACTCTGGCTACAGAGGCTGCAGATTGCTTCACAGTGTGGTGCTTAACCCCTTGCACCACCAGGGAGGCCCTCCAGGGCTCATTTTTTTTAACCACTCCTCCCAGAAAGTAATTTGCAGGCGAGAAGATGACTTTGAGGGATGGCACCACATCTGTTCCTTGTCTACTTCCTCACACTAAATTTAAATTTCAATCTGTTGATATGTATTTTATTATCTAATAAAGCTTTTTATGTATGTCTGGGCAAGCTCACTAAAATGTGTGCTTGTTTAATGCCATTTTACTAGCAACATGAATATGTCGAATTAGCCCTTCAAATATAACATAATCCACAATCTTTCTGTATATTTACACATTAAATATACAACTGATTATAAAATCTAGAATATACGAAATTAGTAGGCAATGAAACATTAGGAAGTCAAATCCTAGAGGAAGATTAGTTAGGAGTTTATGTAAATCATATATGCATGTTTGTGTATTTCTCCTTTAGCAAGGAGTAGTTTTAAAATGCTTATATTATCTCCTACAATTTAAAAAAAAAACAGAAAATGACTAAGAATTAAAATATGAATCAGGATAGTCAGCTGTGTATATTTGAGAATAAATATGAGTTTCTCCCCTAAATATGAGCATCCACATAGACACAGACAATCTCCAGAAGCAGGAGTGGCATGCCAGTCCTGTCCTCAGTTTGACAGGAGACACATCAGGTGTTCTTATTTTCTTTAAATATGTCTGAAGAAGCACAAGCCCCCAGTCATGATGAAGTCTGAGCACTTACCTGCCTCCTTTACCTCTGGTGAGAGACATAGGGAGAAAGAGCTTTAATAAGCATACAACCAAATGATGCAGAGATTCCAAAGAGGGGATAGTTAGTTTAACACAACATCACTTAATTTGACAATACATTTATCTGGTCAGCATTTATTGAGAAATAGCACATTCAGTTCAAATTATAATTTGTCTGAGTATAAAATGGAAATGTCGTTTTCTTGTTCAAGAATTTCAGAATGACAACTGCATAGGTCATATGCTCATGATGTTGGTCCTGAATCCAGGCAAAGTCTTTGGTCAAGGATAAAAGTACAAAACCTAAATTTTGCTTTTAAGCAATGAAGAGCAGAAAGAACAAAAGCCTAAATCCTGGTAAAAGCAGGAAGAGATCAGTATATTTAGGAAGGTGAGTCCAATTTGCAGAGTATAGAAGAGTTCTCAATTGAGCAATCCAAGGAAGTTACCAGAAGAAAGAGACATCTGATTTAGAGTTTGAATGATCAATAGTGAGGCACATGTGGCCAAAGCAGAAAAGACACTGCTGGAATGGGGAGAGGCTAGGGGAGGTAACAACAGATTTCCAAAGGGATCAGAATCTGCCACAGCAAGCTGTTTCACTGAAAGCATGCTTAATGTTTATAGCTATGCATGTTCAAGGAGAAGCAGGCAAGGATTTTATACATAAGATAAAACTAAAGTTACCAAAGTTGTTTTAGGCTCGTTTTCCATTTCATCAAGAATATGTTTTTAATCCACAATATCTGTCCCCAGTAGAGCTGGTAACCTGCACTCCTGGGGCCCTGGGTACTGGCCCCTGTGGGAAAGGCAGGGCTGAGTGCATGGGAAGAGAAGACGTTCTGCTGGGAGCTGTGGGAGAAAGACATCTTGTTATCAAAAAAGGTAAATCAGAGAAAAAAGGAGAAGGAACAATAAAGATCAAAGAAAGGAGAGTGAATGGGTAAGAAGTTGAAGAAATTGAACAAGAAAAGGCTCACCTCTGTTTTTTAAAACATGAGCCAACTACAACCAAGACCAGGGTGACTATTACAGTCAAATAGATCAGTATCAGGAAGATGGAGTATCCACCTGGTTGGGGAAAAAATAAGGGTGACAATCTACAAAGCAGTTAATGCTTGTCTTTCACAAGGGTGGGGCCATCCTGGAGATTACACCTGTATTTTCTAGAATCCTCACTGCAGTTCCTCCTGGGCCCATGTCCCTGATCTGGCCTCCCTCTCTCTCCCACCAGATCTCTAGGTCCCACTCTCTGCTCTAATCTGCTGCCTCCATTTTCCTGAAAGCTATCTTCTGTCATTCTTTATCGGAGCCTTCCACTTTTGTTACCTATTCCTCCAGCTCCTGGCACATCAGCACTAGGACTGGGGAAGGGCTATCATTTCCCATCTGGGCCCCAGTTCTTTCTCACCCCAGGGGAGGACGATGTCCCGGCCGCCGAGGCTGCTGTGCCTCACTCTGCAAGCCAGGCCGGCCGCCTCCCCCGATGCCACATCCAGGGTAGCGCGGAGGTACCACGTGCCATCGGCGTTGGGCAGGACGTCACCTCGCTGAGTGCCCCGCTCCTCCTGCTCTCCCCGCATCCACATCACCCACACGGCCTTCGGGAGGAAGCCAGAGACATGGCACACGAGTCGCAGACGGCCCGGCCCAGGACTGGGGCCTTTAGACAGCCAGGCCTCGGGCTTCTCTGGGGGAGAGGAGATGAGGGAAAATGGAATTTAGGAGGTGCGCTCGGCCAGAGATCATGATGGGGGTGGCTTAGCAGTTTGAGAAATCACCTTTTTCGCTGTCTAGGAAACAGTCCTAAACCCATGCATCCCACCCTCTTGCTTTTATCCTGTGCTTCCAAAAGATGCTAAAGAGTAGAAATACAAATGCAAATTCAAGAGTGCAAGCACTCAAAATAGCAGGAGAGAGAGCTGGGCTCACCTTGGCGCTCCAATTCTGACTTTCCTGCTTCAAGGAGGCTGACCAGAAACCTGGGGCAGGACTTTCTGAGAATGTTCTGCACTATTTCTTTAACTTCTCGGTAGCGACTGAGCACCTGACAGACATTCTGGGCCCGGCTGCCTGCTCCTGGAGAAGGCTGCCAGGAGTCTCCTTGGAAACTCAGGAGATCTGATCCTCTATACGCTCCATTTAAAAAGCTTTCTGAGGCCTCCCCAGGATGCAGTCTACAACCCAGGGATATCTGGAGCTCAAAGGGGTCTGGAAGTGAACAAGGAAGAGAGAATCAGTATGGAAAGAATTGCAGGAGGGGAAAGTCAACACCCTAGAAATAAAGAGATCAGGGGAGGGAAAATTTGCTGGGGAGTCACTTGCCGACTAAAGGTGGGGTGGGAAAGGGGAAGGAAATTTTCAGGAAGCTCTGCAGATAAATAGTTAAGGCATTTTGAAATCGTGTGGAAGGGTAAGAGGAATGCTGTCAGGAAAGCAGGACACTGGTCTGGAAGAGCTCACTGGGACGCGGCGAGGTGCAGGTCAGGCATGCGGGTGCTCAGGCCCGGGACAAGGAGCCCAGGGTTCTGGCTGGAGAGGCTGAGTTTAAGACGTGGGGTGGTGGGGAGACAATCAAGAGGAGACACTGTCCAAGAGAAGACAATCAAGAGGAGACATAGCATAACTCCCCTGCTCAGGGCTGTGAAGAGCGTGTCCGCGTAAGCCTGTTGTGTGTGTGATGGGGGAGCAGGTATGGCGGGGCTGGCGGTGACGGAGAAGCAGAGGAGAAAGGAGGGTCAACCAGCGACGGGGGCTAAGGTTAGAGAGTGGGACAGTGGTCCGAATCCAAATGCCATCTTCCCTTTGAGAGATCGGGCCCTCAGGCAGAACAATCAGCTCAGGACAGGAACTCACATTCAAACTAGAACTGACTGGCATAGGCCCGCACTTCCCGGGGGAAACCGTGGAAGTACAACTGCAGAAGTGCCTGGAAGTCATGCAGCTCCTTCTCGCTGTCATTGCCCCGGGACCAGGGCCACAGAAAGCGGATGGTCCTCAAGGTGTCATCCCAGGCATGAGTCTGCAGGTCACCCAGCCAACCTGACCCCTGGCTCTGCGCCCAGCTGTGGTTGGCAAAGAAGGAGGTCTGGAGCATGCGGAAAGAGGGGGGCTTTTCCACTGCTGGAGTGTGGGGTCCTGGAACCTGGGGAGCTGAGAGAAAAGATGACAGTGGTAAGTGTGAGAGGACGTGAGCAGAGGGGCAGCATATTCTAATACCCCCTCCACCTGGGCCAGACTTGTGCTCGCCAAATTCAAAAGAAGAAACGGAGGCTGCAGCAAGCATACCTGGCCTGGAACTAGGCCTGCACGAAACTCCAAGGGCACCCTGCAAGAGCTCTGCTCCCTTCCCAGCTCCTTCCCAGATCTTCCCCACCCCCGTGCCTGCCACAGGCCCCTTCCCACCTTCTCCTTACCCCCCTGGCTTGCCCCATGGCAGAGGAGTCCCCTGAAGAGCAGGGGCAGCAGGAGCAGCATTGACATTCTGTGAGGCAAAGGATGCTCACAGCACAGATGCCCTCAGACCTCAGATATCCGCCCCCTTCCCATCCCTCCTGCTCCGTCACCTGACTTCCCTACCCACACGACACACACAGACCCTCCCTTGGCCACTTCCCCGTCAGAGAAACTCTAGGGCCTCCTGCAGCCCTACCCTCCCACACAGCCTCTCACTTCCCCTCCATCTCTCCCACTCTGGCTTCCATGTCTTCCTCCTGCCCGTCTCTGGGAACTCCTGATGTCCCCTATTGCACCGGCTACTGCTAAAGAACTCCTGGCTTAGGACAAAGGCTGTGAGAATTTAGTCATGCTTGGCCTCAGGGGAAATCAAATGTGCACTTGGGCTGTCAATGTCCTTGTCCACAAAAAGGAGCAGTGGGTGGGCTCGTGGTGCCCAGGCTTGCCCAGCCATCTCCCACCCTCACTGCTGGCCTCTTCCTGTCTGCTGCATGGTCTCTTTTCTGCCTCTTCTTGGTCTTCCATCTTTCTGTGCTCACACATTATTTTTGCCTCTTTTGCAGGCTTCCACTCATCTCAACATGCTTCTTGTGCTCCCGACCCTCAGCTCCCTTCTGTCTCTTCATTCTGCTCATCTCAAAATAATTACCCCAAGACACTAGACATCATGAGCACAGCTGTGTAGTCCACAGTCCTCATAATCCATGCTGGAAAAGGAGCAGTGGCAGCAATGCAGGTGGATCAGATAATCTAGAAAATGCTTTACTGCTCAGTTTCCCCACCAGACCAGTTGTCACTGTTGGAGGGTTCATGACTGAGCCAGTGATTTTCAGCAGGTGATTTCCACTCAGGCTGTACAGGTGATTCTGAAGGGAACACCCCTTGAATCCCTGCTCTGACCCCAATGTGCTGGTGTGGGCAGGTGGGTAGGCAAGATTCATGGTGGAGATGAATGGTGAGCCCATGAAGGGGTAACCCATGAAGGGGGAGCCGGCGCTTTCCCTGGAAAGTTCATGGAGTAAGAGCACAAGCACCTGCTTGCCCATCTGATTAGATAGGACTTTCACTGGAGGTAGGAGGTGCCCCTTGGGTTAAAGTGTCAACAGGAGAATTCATTACTGTGTTTGTCCCTATTTTTCTTCCTTTCATTACTGCTCGCTATGACGACCTGAAAACAATTGAAATGGCATTCCTTTGTTTGGTTTTCATATATTCATTCAACTGACATTTAGACATAGCCCACGTAGTGTAAGAAACTTGCCAAGTTCCAAGAAACACTAAGTTTTCAAAATAGAAGTCCTGTGAAGAAAACAGAAGGAAAAAAACCTAAAGCCTCTATCTTTATTATAGAGAGGAATCACAAGGTAGTGATTAGAATTTACTACTCAGTTTTATCCAGGTATTGCTTCTAAATCTTTCTCCCACTCCATAGAATATCTTTTCATTTTGAGGTGTTTCTTTCACCATACAGAAGCATTTCATTTTGATGTGGTGCCATTTGTTTGGTTTTTTGTTGTTGGTTTTTTGTTTTTTTGTTTTTCCTTTTGTTTCTTTTATGCTTGGAATTGAGTCCCCAAAACTAATGGCCATTGATTGATTGACAAATGAATAATGAAGATGGGGTATATATACACAATGGAATACTATTCAATTTTTTAAAAAAATAGATGAAAATCCTGCCATTTGCAACACTATGGATGGAACCAGAGGGAATTATGCTTAGTGAGATAAGGCACACAGAGAAAGACAAACTCTATGATTTCACTCACATGTGGTGTACAGAGGAAACAAACAAACAGATGCCCTAGATAACACAAAATAAAAGTTTTAGGCTCTAAGACCTATTAGTGGTTACCAGAAAGAGAAGAGGGAGGGAGGTGGGTAAATGGTAAGTATAGATTTGGACTTTTAGTGCTGAATTTAATGTAGAATACACATATGTTGATTCTTTTTTTTTTTTTTTTTGAGGGGTAGGGGATAATTTCCCCCCTAAAGGAATCCTCTATTTTTTTAATTTATTTTTTATATCATTGTTCATTTTTAAACAATATTTATTTTCCCCCTCCCGAGCATATGTTGATTCTTAAAGATGAACACCAGAATTTATACATTATTAAACAATGTAACAATGCAGTGTTACTTCAAAAAGAAATAGAATTAAATTTCAAATTACCAGCTGAAAACCTGCACTGTATTTACTAGAGACAGACCAGGGACTCAGACAACTGAACTCCCACCAGCAACCACTTTGCTCCTGCCAGAAACCACAAGAACAAGTGCATCACCTGTGCAGTGAAGTGGCTGGGGTCAGAGGGGAGAAGGAGGGTGGATTGTAAGTAGCAGCCTCCTAGAACTACAGAAAGTTCAGGTTGATGTGGCATACCTATTTTATCTGAAAAAATGAAAGTATAAGATCCATTTTGTTTTGGCTAAAATGAAAGGAGCATTTCCCTTACCACACAATAAAAGATAGGAAAAGTTAGTGTTAAAACAGGTGGGAGACATATAGAACCATTATATGAGAGAATTAGGCAAAGAGGTTTAGGTACCAATGAAAAGTGGCAAGGCAGGCAGGGTTGGTCAGCCTCATTGTGTGTACCAGACTGAAGAATTGCCTTGGTGTTCAAGCAAGTGAAGAATTTTATTCATGAGAGTGACATGATTAAAATGGCATTTGAAAAAATTCCCTAGTCCCAAGGAGATTCACTGGAGAATATATCACAGTGATGAGACCGAGCCAGCAGGTGACTGAACAAAGCCTGTGGCCATGAGAATGGAAAGGAGTGGAAACAAGTTAGAAGCACAGCCAAAAGGAGATGAAGTGGTGCCATTCAGGAAGGGGTTCAGGACAGATGGTAGTTGGGTGCATAGTTCAGTTTGGGCCATCTTGAAACTGAGGCGGTCCAGAGCTTTCGGGTTGTTGCAAATGGGTGCTTTGGACAGCTGAGCTGGTGGTGCCACAAACATGGAGCCCTCCATACATATATCTGTGCATTCTTTCAAATGATACATTGAAGATAAGTTTACTAAATATCATTAGCTGTGTCATAGGAAATATTGAAGTCTCTCAAAGTTTGTTCACTTAGTCTTTCATTCATTAAATGAATGTCTTGCGCACCTACTATGGGCCAAGCATTTACTAAGAGCTGGGGATATAGAGCAAATTAGGAGTAAGTGAGAAGGTACATAGTTCTTGTCCTTGGTGGCATTTAGTGTGAATTAAAAGATTCATGCAAGAGAATATATACAACTGTCATAAACACTGAGTTTTTGAAGTACAAAGGGCTATGCTGACAAATGATGAGAGGAATGAACCAAATCAGGCAGATCAAAGACTCCCAGAAGGCATGGATCTGAGGGAAGAGTAGGAGTTAATCTGGAAAGGAGAACATAGCATATGCAAAGATGCTATAAATAAGGGTGTCTATATCATCTAAGGAACTGAAAGAGGCCATAATTAGTATGATTTCATAACACAAATCTTCTCAATATCACTAAAATCTGCTTCTCTGATTTAATTGTATATTTTCTTAAAATAAAAAGGGATTTTGGACATGATTATTATGCACTGGATTCCACAACCTATTCAAGTAACAGAGTTGTACCTGTTTACATCTAGCCAACATATTCAGGAGGTTGAGAGCTGGAAATGACACAGTCCATTCATAGTAGCCTGTGGCATCTGCAAACTCAAATTCAGTAATGGGTGAGTCCAAGCCCAATGTTCTATCAATCCTTCGAGCTACCAGTTTCCTATTTGCAGACCATCCACTGCTATCAGAATGACAGCCTCTTCCTCTTTCACCTCAATGTTTTTAATCCATTTTGAGTTAATTTTTTATGTAAGGTGTAAGATGGTGATCTAGTTTCATTCTTTTTTAGATGTGGCTGGCCAGTTTTTTCAACACCATTGTTGAAGAGACTCTCCTTTCTCCAGTGTATACTCTTGGCTTCTTTGTTGTAAATTAACTGCTCACAAATATGTGGGTTTATTTCTGAGTTCTCAATTCTATTCCATTTGTTTATATGTCTGTATTTTCCTGGTACCATACTGTTTTGATGACTATAGCTTTGTAGTATAGGCTGAAGTCTGAGAGTGTGATACTACCACTATTCCTCTTTTTTGTCAGGATCATTCTGGCTATTCAGGATATTTAGTGGTTCTGCTAGCAGACAGAATGAGGGGCACCCTGGGACCCTCAGTCATGCGGCTCCATTGGCTGCATCAAGACAAAACAAACTCTAGTGCATAAGATCTTCAAAAAAAGGAACTTTAACATAACTTGTGTTCATTCTATTCCTTTTTTTTTATTTGCTTATTTTCACATATTCTTGTCAAGTTGCTGAGTTTCTGCATTATGATATTATAGCCTCATAAAATGACCTTAATTTTTCCCATCTTCTTATATATACTGAAACAGACCATCAGAAATGAGCCTAGAACTTTTTGAGTTAGTTATAACTTTGTGATTGGGGTCAATTATTATTTATTTATTATTGAAATATTTGTTTATATTAAGGTTTCTTCTTTCTTTGGGTCATATTTAGACATTTATAATTTTCAGTAAAATTTCCTATCTCATTTGATTTCAAACCACCTCAAATGAAATTGCAGTCTTCTTTTATTAATTTTTACTCTTTAGTACATTCATTGACACCCACTTTTAAAATTTTAATGGGAAAATCACATTCCAGTTGTTCATTTGTGCATTTTTTATCAATCCTTCTAGAATTTACTTTTTCATGTTATTAGTGGTTTTAAGTCTGTGGTTAATTTGATAACTTCTATTACATGATTTTCTTCATTTCTATTTTATTTTATTTTTTTTATAATAAATTTTATTTTTATATTCCCCATACAATTGCAACCCTCCCATTCTGACCCCAATCCCTCCCCTCCTGCCCCCCACCCCCCAAAAAGTGTCTCTGGTTCATAGTTTTTTGTTGATTTTGATTTTCACTTTCTTATAGTTATTCTATTTTAATAATACAGCCTTTATAATTATTTTTATGTCTTCCATGCTTTTTAATTTCATTTTATGTTTTTTCACTTGCTTCATAATTGAATTCTAGTTATTTATTTTCAATATTTTTTCTCCTTGATAAATATAGCTAAATCTATAAATTGCTCTGTAAATCTACACCGGCTTCATGATACCATTATGGATTGTAGACAAAGATAGATATTGAAGAGAGTATATACTGACCTACAAAAAGACATGCTATGTACATAAAGTATTGGAATAACATGCCAAACATCAATGAGTTGAATGTAGTAATTTGAAGAATTTTAGAATAATTTAAAAAATACAGCAAAAACTAAGTAAAAGAAGAAAATGTCATTATTCTACAAGAAATCATGTGGTGAAAATGACCACATGCATTTTTCAATTTTGAGATTACCAAATGCAAAAGTGACGACAGTGAACTGAGCAAAGCAGAAATATATTTCTGGTTAATCCAGTAATAATTAGCAAAATCATTAATGGAATTCCTTCCAAATTAAAATCATGCAGAAATTAAATTTCAAAGGAAAAGATAACTAACATTAATTTTAACTTTTGCTACATAATACAGTAAAAGTATTTCCTCTTTGCTTACAAATTTATTTAGTGCCTAACCACAGTCTTGAGGAAAAGTACTTCTGTTTGTGGCTAGGTCTCTTTTAAGAAGAAACACCCCCACCCATCCCAGCATTTTTCTGGGGCTGCCCCACAGTCATGGTCACAGATCCCCTTTTGCCAACCTTGCCAAAATTGAAAAATTCACTGGAAACATTACAATATGGCTTTAGGCAAATTAATCTCCTTAAGTAACAAAACAAAAGGTCAGTCAAACCGAACCAATAACAAATCCTAGAAATCTGTCTATAAAATTAAGATTAGCTGAGGGGCTGAATAAATGGGATTAAAGTGTTCTAGGATCAGGCCTCCCCGGTGGCGCAGCGGTTGAGTGCTGGGTTGCGAAGCTGCCCGCAGCTTCTGCGGTGCTGGTTCGATTCCTGGCTGCTCCCCGGCCACCAGAGGAGGGTCCCACATGGCGCGCAGACCTCTCCTGCCGCCCTCTGCTCCCCTCAGCAGTGTACCTCGGTCTTTCTGCCTGCTCTGCTCCCTGCTCTGACTGTGGTGAATTCTCTCACCCTTCCGCGCGCTTCTGACTGTACCCAGTGCTTGTATAAATAAATAATTTTTTTAAATAAATAAATAAAGTGTTCTAGGATCACTGCACTACCATGAAGTGGTAAAATACTAATGTATGCTAGAAATAATAAGTTTGGGATGCATGTAAAAATTCCTAGGACAATCAATAGAAGAATAATCAAAGACCATGAAACCAACAAACTAATAAATGGAAAATTTGTATAATTAAAAATACTTAATCCAAAAAGCAGACAAAGAGAGAAGAAAAAGAATATGAAAGAAACAGGGAAAGAAAAAGCAATGGCAAAATGGATGGTAAATTTAAGGCCAAAATATCCGCAATTATACTGAAGATAAGTAGAACAGTGGTTTTTTAAAAAAGGATTGTCAAACTAAATAGAGAGCAATTTAACATTAAGCCTACAATAGAAAGATCATACAAGTAAGTAAACTGAATATTTAAAAATAAAAAAATGGAAGGGACATACTATAAAAATACTAGCCAAAAGGAAGCTGGTACAGCTGTACTAATTTATGACAAAGTGGCTTTACCAGCAAGGAAACATTATTGGACATAAAAGAGAAAATGAATCACCAAGAAGATACAACATTTCTAAACATTTATGCACAAAGGAATATTCTCATAGTTATTAAGCAGAACTTGTTGGAAGATATTTTTTTTAAATGTATAATGGTGAAGATTTTTTTAATGTACCTCTCTGAGCAATAGAAAATACAAATTAACAAGTAGTGTAATAGCTGAACTACATGATTAATAAATAAGACTAAACTGATATATTTAAAATTTCAAGTTTTGCTGATATAATAATACATATTGCTTTTAAGTTCACATAAATTGTTTATTTGCATTAATGGATAAAGCAAATGCGGTATATACATATAATGGAATATTATTCAGCCTTAAAAAAACATAAGGAAATCTTGCAGTTTGCAACAACATGGATGAACCTAGAAGACATAATGCTAAGTGAAGGACAATTCCACTTACATGATGTATCTTAAATAGCCAAACCCATAGAACAGAGAACGGCAATTGACAGGGACTGGGGAAGAGGAAAATGGGGAATTATTTCTTAATGGATATAAAATTTCTGTTAAAGCAAAATTAATAATTTCTAGAGATCTGGTGTATATAGTATCTATAGTTAGCAATATGGTATCATAATTTTAAAATACACTAAGAGGATAGAGTTCAGTTGTGTTCTCAACCAAACACATACACAAGGGAACAAGAAGAAATTTTTGGAGGTGATGAATACGGTTAAGATTTTCGTTGTAGAGATGGTATCACAGGTGTGTGTACATATCCGAACTCCTCAAAGGGTACACATTAAATGTGTGAAATTTTCATAAAACTTAAAAAAGGAATGATGATATGTCTGTCTATAAAGCAATGTGAATAATTTTTTAAATTAATGAAATGTGAAATTTTTTTTAATATTTTTTTTAAAACCATACAAAATGGTTTTTCTGGCAAGTGGAATTAAACTAAAAATCCAAGATGAAAATACAACCAGAAATTTTTCCATGTATGGAAATTTAGAAATACAAGTTATAAATAACTACTGGGCCAAAAATGGTCATTGGAAAATCTATTGCTCTAACAAAGGCAAAGTAACATAACATACTTTCTGATCTGCAGCTAAAGCCATGCCTACAGGAAAGTTTTAGCCCTAAAAGCACATGAGAAAATAATAGCTGAATATAAATTGTTTAAGCCTCCATATCGAGAAATTAGAAATATAATGTGATAAGAAATAAATATTTGTTCTTCAAGCCCATTTCTGGCACAGAGTTCCTAACCCGGTTGGAATTCCCTAAGTGTTGAGAGCAATCAAGGTGTCTTTTGTTAATGCGGTGGCTTTTGTGAAGTCCCTATGTAACCTCAGGATGGGCCTGGCTGCCAGTGGAGAAGGCTGGAACTTTCAGTCCCAACCCCCTGACCTCCAGGGAGGGAAAAGTCCAGAAATTGGATCTGTTACCAATAGCTAAGGGTCTAATCAATCATACTTCTGTAATAAGGTCTCCATTAAAAAAAAAAAAAAATTGGGTTCAAAGCACTTCCAGGCTAGGGAACAGGCTAAGATTTGGGGGGGGTGATACTCTTACTTAGAAAGAACATGGATGCTCTTTCCCCTTTGTTCATTCCTTGCCCTGTGCATCTCTTTCATCTGCCTGTTCCTAAGGTCTATCCTTTATATAGAAGTAAAGTGTTTCTCTGTCTTTTGTGAGCAACTCTAGCAAATTAAGTGAGTGTAGGGTAAAAATCCCTTTCTAACAAGTTCACGAGTATTACTGCTGCTGCTGCTGCTGCTTCATAGTCTATACTCCAAGGAACAGATTAATGAGGGACCAGGGCTATAACTGGGGGTACATGAAGCACACTACAGCAACTCTGCTCCACAAGAAGAGATGGAGTTTAATGCCTCCTAGCTATACTACTAGAGAGGAGAGAAAGCTGCATGTCAGTCATTCCTACCCTCTCCGAATCCTTAAGTGCATATTACCCTAAAATTCCCAGGTGAGAGAAATTCCAGTACCTGCTTGCTCCAATCTCTCCTCAAATCCTATAAAGATATACTCAAATACTGCCCTCCTTCCCCTACTGTTTTAATCAAAATGAGTTTGGATTTTTTTTATGAGATTTTTACCAGTAGAAGGGTAAGAAAAAAATAACTGCTGAGTCATGGGTATACAGTAAAATGGATCTCTGCATGATACCAGATAAGGGAAATTACTTCTATTGTAGCGCTAGGGAAGGCTTCCTGGAGGAAGAAACAGCTCAGCTGGGTCTCCAGGGTTAGGGAGTTATCCAGGCAGAAACTGACAAATGATGCAAAAAAAAAAAAAAAAATTATTCAGCACCACTGTAGATACAATTATCCCAGCGTATGTGTAGTTAGCTTATTTTGACAAATGATATTTCAGCAGAAGCAGAACAAAAGTTTTAAGATAGGAACACGAAAAGATGTCACAACTAAATTGTATACTATATTTCATTTATTCTGAGACACATGTTTTCTCACACCTCACATCTGTGAGATGTGGGAGGATCCCCCAATTGATACTCTCACGATAAATCACAGTTTTTAATTTTTGTGACAGTATATAAATTATGGTTTATCTTACAACTGATGGAAGCTCTGATTTGATCAAAGATAGTGACATTTAATGAAATATGATGGTATTGACTTGTGGAGTTACAACTTGAATTTCTGGACTTCTGAGTGCTTATTCCAAACGGAAAAGGAAATATGGTGAGGACTCATGGGATATTCTGATATGCCCTGTTCAGAACACAAGAAAAAAAAAATCACTCTACATAAGAGCTATTATATGACCACAGCATTATTCACAATAGCCCAAAGGCGGGATCAACCCAAAGTCAAGGTCCATTGACAGATATGGACAAGCAAATGTGCTCTACACATTTAATAGAATATTATTCAGCCATCAAAAGAAAGAAATTCTAACATATGCTACACATGCATGCACCTTGAGAATATCATGCTGAGAGAAATAAGTCAGTCCCAAAAGGACAGATACTGATGACCCCACTTAAACCAGGCCCCTACAGCAGCCAAATTCAGAGGGAGAGAACAGAATGGCCAGGGCCTGGAGGAGCGGGGCATGGGGAGGTGAGGTCAGTGGGTACAGGGCTTGGGTTTTCTCTAGGTATTGGCCAACCATGTGTGCTCGATACCACTAAGCTGTGTGCTTAGAAATGGCTAAGATGGTTAAGTTTTATATCATGTGACTTTACCACCAGTTTAAAAATAGGTTTACCCAAGGAAGAAGATGGGAGGGGAGCTGGAAAGACAGAAAGGATCTGGTGGAAAGATTGAGGGAAAAGTGATGAAAATAGATTAAATGGTGGGAAAGAGTAGGAGAAAAGATTTAAAAAACTCACCAGCGCCTCAAAAACCATAATGCGAGACCTATGCAAAGGACCAAAAGGGGCACCAGGAGCCCCAAAACTATCAAGCCGATGGAGGTGGAATGTTCTGGCAATCGGGAGAAGACACAGGGCATTACTTTAAACCCCCCTGGCTGATTCTCCTGGCCTTCCTTTGCCCACCCACACTTCCTCCCCACCTGCTTCTGATGTGTGCGCCTCTCCTCCTGCCACAGACCCAGAGCTCTCTGTCTCCCCCCTGCCTCACCTCAGTCAGCCCGTAGGTCTTTCATTCCTACCACAGATGTGCTACACCTCAGAACATCTATTTTTATTCCTGTTGGGACTGGAATCCCAGAAATAGAATCAAAATCTCTCTGCCTCTCTCCCCCTGCCTCTCCCTTAAAGCCTGACCCCCACATAAGTCTCCACTTCTGTGCTTGTCACCTCCAGCTCCTCACCTCCACCCCGAGCCCTGCTCCTTCTCACCCCAGGGGAGGACGATGTCCCGGCCGCCGAGGCTGCTGTGCCTCACTCTGCAAGCCAGGCCGGCCACCTCCCCAGATGCCACATCCAAGGTGGCGTGGAGGTACCACGTGCCATCGGCGTTGGGCAGGACGTCACCTCGCTGAGTGCCCCGCTCCTCCTGCTCTCCCCGCATCCACATCACCCACACGGCCTTCGGGAAGAAGCCAGAGACATGGCACACGAGTCGCAGACGGCCCGGCCCAGGACTGGGGCCTTTAGCCAGCCAGGCCTCAGGTTTCTCTGGAGAGAGAAGGGCAGAGCGTCAGATCCCGCCTGTAACCTAGAGCATAGGGACTCAGCCACGCACGAGTGTGGACAGTCACCCCCTCCACTCCCTTGGGAACCGAACTCGTATGAGCCCCTCTCTTCTTAGGTACCTCCTCCCCTTGGGCTTACAAGAAGGTGGTAAGAGGTGAAATAGCAAAGTCTTGGGGAGAGAACCGGACTAACCTTGCCTCTGCAGTTCCGCTTTGCCTGCATCAAGGACACCCAAGAGAAATTGAGGGCAGGTTTCTAGAAGGAGCTTCGTAATGGTGTCACGAATGCCTTGGTACTGATTGATGAGCGTGCACACCTGCTCTGCGATGCTGCCGCCCTCGGGGGCAGGCACAAAGATATTGTTTTGGAAGCTCAGGAAATCCTGTCCGTCTATAGCTGCCTTCATGAAGTTTACTATGGGCTCCCCAGAACGCAGGCTACAGCCTACTGAGCTCTGGACCTCAAAGGGGTCTGGGTAGAAGGAAAAAAGAAAGTAAAGTAAAGGCCTCCCTGGTGATGCAGGTGGTTGAGCGCAGCACTGTGAAGCTGTCCGCACTTTCCGCAGCACGGGTTTGATCCCCACCTGCCGGAGAGATACCCACATAGAGCGGCAGACCTCTCCTGTCTCGCCCGCTGCTCCCCTCAGCAGTGTGTTTCAGTCAGTCTGCCTGTTCTGTTCCTCGCTCTGTCTCTGGTGAATCCTTTCACCCTCCCGCACATCTGGCCTGTTCTTGTATGCATGAATAAATAAATCTTTTTTTTTAATTTTTTTAAAAAATAAAAAACAAGTAAGAATGAAAGGGCTGAGTGAAGGACCTAGAACTTTGGATTTGGGGGCAAGAGGAAGGTCTGAGAGATTAAATGATGAGGCAAAAACAAACTACACAATCTGGAGATTTCTTTGAAGAGCATTGGGGATTGGTGTGCACCTCCTATGTAGGAAGAAGGGCTGTGTCAGGCTGTGTGGTAGGTAAGAGGGGAAAGCTTGAGGAACAGACTGAAGGCTCAGAAGTACCAAGTTCCAGGTGAACGGGTTAGGGGGGTTGTGGGGGAGGCCACATGAGAGGAGGGGTGAGGCCTCAGCTTGAAGAAGGGCTGATAGTGGGGGAAAGCCCATGTCAGTTCTCTCAGGCACAAGTTGAAAGGAAGGGCTTCTTGCTCCAGGGTTGAGAGCAGAAAGTTTTAACAAACACCCCGGGAGATGGTCACAAGGTCAGGAGTGCAGGAACCAAGTAGGACCTGGAACCCTTGAGGAGGGATAGAGTTGGAGCAGGAGATTGCTCCAGAGAAGTGTGTGCCTGCAGGTGGGGAAGGCATGAAGGAGGGGAGAAAGGTCAGAAGGAACAATGATCAGAACCAAGACAGAGGAAGAGGCCATGAAGCATGTCCCCAGATCAGACATCTGGACTCACATTCAAAGTGGAATTCACTGACACGGTCCTGCACTTCCTGAGAGAATCCGATGAAGTACACTCGGAATAGGTCCTCCAACTCAGTTAACTCCACATCACTGAAGTTGCCCTTCGACCAGGGCTTCAGGAAGATGGCAGTGCCCTTGTCACTGTCCCAGCCATGGATCTGCAGATCGTCCAGCCAGCCTGAGCCCTGGTTTTGGACAGAGGTGCTATTGACAAAGGACGAGATCTGGATGAGCCGGAAAGACGTCTGCCCCTGGACGGCTGTGCGTGGGGGAAGGATAAGAACGTGAGGAGCAAATGGTGTCTTGTTTTCTGAGAGTAGCAATATCACATATAAATTCTAAATTTCAAATTTAACCCAAAAAAAGGGAGGAAAGGGAGCCAGAGGGAAGGTATTCTCAGGCGGGATTGAGAAAGAATGAAAATTGAAGGGATCCTAAGAAAAAGAACCTGGTCCAGAGCGCGCCAGCGGTTCCACGTCCAACCTCCAGAAAGGGGAGACAGCTGGAGGTCGGGGGACCAGCCCTTGGTGGTGAGAGCAGGGTGCTTCCATCCAGACCCCCGCCCTCAGGGGGCTGCTCTTACCATCCTCACTGCCGCCACCTGGGAAGCCAGCTGCCAGCAGCAGAAGTGACAGAGGCAGCATTTCACTGGGAGATAAAACTTCTGACTCTACTGGTTTTGATCTCTGACTTCAGTAAGCCCCTTTCACAGCAGGCTACAGTGACTTCCTCTCCCTTCCAGCTGCCAAATCTCTTCCTCATCCACATGGCACATCAGAGAAAAACTGGACCTCCCACACCTCTGGTCATCCACCCTGGCTCTCATTTCCACTCTGCTCTGACAATTTATTTTCTTACTTCCCTAGCTTCTGGCTTCTCACTCTGGCCTCAACTTCCTACATGTGCTTTTGAAAGTTTATTTCACCTCCCCAATCCTTGATGTCCTCTCTTGTTAAATAAAGGGTGATATTAAACAGTGGTCCTGTGCACAGCCTGCTTCAACCTGGGATTCTTTGCTTTATCCTTCCACATCGCCTTCCTGCCCACAGCCCTCTTTTCTGGCACTCCATTTCCCCTCTCTCCAAAGTTTTCCATGGCTCCTAGGAGGGCATGTGATGGTCAGGCTTTTGCGCCTTTGGCCTCTGTGGCTATCACCTGCAGCTATCACCTTGCGGCCTCCCAAGGCGCTTGGGAGGATGGGCTCAGGGTACGAGACTCATATCTAGAGGTAGACACCTGGAGTATGGTGTGGGCATGAGTAAGTGGGCACACACACCTGAGCCTGGAGGCTGAGGGTGTAAGGGCAGCACGTTCGGAGGACAGTGTGCGGTGGAGAACAGCTACGAGAGGAAGAGACCACTGGAGAACACTGAAGAGAGTGAAGATTCACCCAGGGCTGGAAGGCCTGCCAGCCTCCTGGGCTCCCTGCCCCCATCTCCCTGCCTGCCCTGCACCTGGTTGTTGCACTACACTTGGCGTAGAAAGATCATTAAAGCCTGAAAAAGCCACTGAGGGCTCTGGGCCCTCCTTTACCCGTTTGCCTGAATCAATAGAGGACCTGCCCTCTGCATCGCTGGCACTGCTCTCCTCTTTCTTATCTCGTCACCCCTTTTTTGTTCTTCTTAACCCACTCCCCCACCCTACACCCTACACACTCCAGCCCCTTTCTTGTTTCTGTATGTGTGTGAGACATGCCTGCTTCTGTGCAAGTGTGTTGACAGTCATTTGCAGGAGGCAGAGCATTTAAAACATTGCGTGCATTATCGCACTACAGATCCAAATCCCACACTCAAATATGATAAACACTGCTATCTATAATCTCAGCAAAACGATTTCACACCTTACTAATTTTTTTTCTTTTTTCTTTTAAATAATAAATTTTATTTTTATATTCCCCATACAATTGCAACCCCCCCATTCTGATCCCAATCCCTCCCCTCCTGCCCCCACCCCCCAAAAGTGTCTCTGTTTCATAGTTTTTTGTTGATTCTGATTTTCACTTTCTTATAGTTATTCATTTTCCTGGTCCCTTAGTTAAGTTTTCTAGATTCCTGCTATGAGTGAGACCATCCGGTATTTTTCCTTTTCTTTTTGGCTTATTTCGCTGAGCATGATCCCTTCCAGCGCCATCCATGTTGCTACAAATTGCATGTGTTTATCTTTTTTGAATGCTGAGTAATATTCCATGGTCACACCTTACTAATTTTTGAGGGGAAAAATAGCACTTTCAGCCTTCCTGGTAGCATAAGGGGTTAAGCACCACACTATGAAGCAATCCGCAGCCTCTGAAGCACGAGTTCTATCCCCGGCCTGCCAGGGAGCTACCCACATGGCTCGGCAGACCTCTCCTGTCTCGCTCGCTGCTCCCCTCAGTGGTGTATTTCCCTCCGTCTGCCTGTTCTGTTCCCCGCTCTGTCTCTGCTGAATCCTCTCACCGCCCCCCACATCTCTGGCCTGTACCCCAGCTCTTGTATGCATAAGTAAATCTTTTTTAAAAATTGCACTTTCTACTGGTATGTAACCTTCTTTCCTGTAGCTCTTGACCACTGGAGAATTGAGTAGCAAATCTTCATACATGTGAGTTATCTATATCGCCTTGAGTATATCTGCTGAGAAATCTGATGAAAGTCTGATCAAGCTGCTTTTTGTGTGTACATCCTCTTTTTTGTGTGTACATTCTCTCTCCTTAGAAGCTTTTAATCTGTTTTATTTATCATTGTGTTTAAATAAATTGGCAGTGGTATGTCTTGGTGGAGGTTGTTTTGCATTTAGAAATCTGGGTATTCTTTCTGCTTCCTTGACATTCATGATCAACACTTTACAGAGGTTTGGGGAGCTGTCAGCTATTGTTTCTTTGAATGGGGTCTCTGCTCCCTTCTGTCCTCATTTTCTGGAATATCTATTATCCTTATGTTTCCTATTGTAATGGAGTCTGATATATCTTGTAAAGTTTCTTCACTTTTCCTAAGTCTTATCTCTGTCTTTTATCACTTGGTTCATTTGTACATTTCTAGCTTCAATTTCTGAAATTCTCTTCTCTGCTAGTTAAAGTTTATTTGGTATGCTTTTCTTATTTTTCCTCATTTCATCAACTTCTTTTATTCTGTTTTCTAAATGTCTTCAAGCTCATTAGTGAAGAACTCTTTGTGTTCTTAGATCTGTTTCCTAAGATCCTGCCCTTGCTTTTCTTTGTGTGAACTGCTAAGATCTTTCTGAGTCTTTTAAAATTTGTTATTCTAAAGAGCCAATCAGAAAATAGGCAGTAGAGAAGTAGACACTTCTCCAAAGAAGACATGCAGGTGACCAATAGGCAGATGAAAACAAAATGTTCAACATCACTCATCATCAGGAAAATGCAAACCAAAACCACAGTGTTATATCAACTCACTCTAGTGAGAATGAAATTTTTTAAAAGCTGGCAAATATGTGGAGGAAAAGGAACAGTCACACAATGCTGGTGGGAATGAAGACTAGTCTAGTCCCTATGGAAAACAGTATGGAGGTGCCTCAAAATATTAAAACTAGATCTACCATATGCTCCAACAAAGTACACTCATAAGTATATGCCTGAAGAATACAAAAATCACTAATTTGCAGCAGTATTTACAATAGCCAGAATAATAGAAACCATCTAAATGCCCATTGAGAGAACCGTAGATTAATAAATTGTGGTGTATATATATATATATATATATATATATATATATATACACAATGGATACTACTCAGCTATAGAAAAAGATGAAGTCTTGGCATTTGTGTCAATATGGATGGAACTGGAGGAGATTATGGTAAATGAAATAAGTCAGAAGGAGAAAGATAAATACCAGGTGATTTCACTCATATGTGCAGAGTGAAATCACCTGGTATTAACCTTGCTCCTTCTGAAAAGAAACTGACAAATCTGAACCAAAACAAACTCTAGAAGTATGACTCTATAATTAAGACTGTTAGAGAGGACCTCCCCTGGTGGCGCAGAAGTTGAGCACTGGGCTGCCAAGCTGCCTGCAGCCTCTACAGCACTGGTTCGATCCCCGGCCGCCAGTGAGGGTCCCACATGGCGCGGCAGACTCTCCTGCCACACCCGCTGCTCCCCTTAACAGTGTATTTCATCAGTCTGCCTGTTCTCTTCCCCGCTCTGGCTCTGGTGAATTCTCTCACCCTCCCGCACTTCTGACTATACCCAGTGCTTGTATAAATAAATAAATAAATAAATCTTTAAAAAAAAAAAAAAAAGACTGCTAGAGAGGAAAGGAAGGGTATGGGTGAGAATAAAGCAAGACAGAGGCCCAGTGACTTAATGGTGTTTTGAAGGTGGGGTGGTAACTTACATCTGTGGAGATATGAACCTATTCCCCTAAATCATGTAGAGTGTGTGTAGGGTAAAGAAAATATCAGGCTTTTCTGCCCTTCTGCCATCAGGATAGATGATGGATCCTTGTCCTGAATGCATGCCTGATGGCGGGCACCTGGAATAGGGTGTGGGCATAGGTAGATGGGATTCAGCTGAGCTAAGACTGTGCTTACGGGGATGCCAGCAGCAGCAGCAGAAGCAGAAAGAGAAGCCGAGAAGCAGCAGAAGGAACGCCAGAGAGCCCAGATAGAGTAAAGACTTGCTGGGGGCTGGGAGGCCTGCCGTCCTCCCAGCCCCTCAGCCAGCACTCCTGCCTGCCATATGCCTGGTGAACCCCAATAAAAGACCTGCAAAAAACCATTAAGGACTCTGACTCCTCCTTTACCCGGTCTGCATGGGATCAAAAAACCTGCACTGGTCCAGTCCTGCCTCTTTACAGTGTGGTAAACCTATATTACCTCAACAAAGAAAATAAATCAATAAAATGTTTGTTATGTCCTTAAATTCCATATCCTTTATAGAGGTCTCTAAATTTCTATTTTCTCTTTCTGCCTTTCCACCTTGTGTTCAGATGCTCCTCTGATGTTTATTGAATTGTTTGTTAATTCCAGTGGCATGCTGTGGATTTGATTTTGTTGTTGTTTATCTTTGTTCAACTTGGTTGCAGGTGTGGAGTGGGGGCAACTGCAGGTGAGGAGTGGGGCCAACAACTTGGTATCAGTCTCAGTCGAGAAGGAGGTTATCAGGTAGAAAGATTTTTGCTACCTCTTTTTCCCTTGCTTTGCAAGCTAAATATTAGTCAGTGATTCGCAGAACCCAAATTCAGGGATATTCCCCTCCTTGCCACTCCTCTCTGCAGGAAAGGGCACGCAGTAGGCCACAGGTCTCTCTCAGAGGTCCCAACAGGGAAAGGGTGAGGGCTGCCTGTGCTGCAGCAGCCAGGTTCCCAGCAATTGAACCAAGAGTCTAAGTGCTCATGCATAAGCAAACCTGCATTCTCCCCTCACTGAAAAAAGGCCTCATGCACAGTTCATATGACCACTCTGTGCCCACACTCCAGTTTGCTCAAATAACTGGTATGGCTGCCTCCCTGCCTGCAACTTCCTTACCTCTCCTCTCCCCATTTCACCCTAACAGTGAGTCACCAACTTCAGAACAAAATACCCACATTTCAGTTCCCCATCACCAGTGATGAAATGGTGGCATCTCCTAAGAGCAAAACTTAGTTTTTCTATAGCTGTATTTTGGGGAAAAGTTTATCAGAACCTCCCCTATTCTGCCATGTTGGGG